TGCATCTCTTAATTAAAAAGCTTGGGAACTTTCTAAAAAAGAAAATTTGAAATTTGTCTTGCTACAAAAGCATATACACAGTAAAAAAAAATCAACTCTAAGCAACACTAATTAGAGTTCACACAGGTCCACACTAAATAGTGTTGTTTTATAACACTGCAATTAGAGATAATTTGTAGTGTAATTTTCCCCAAGTAAGCAAGTATGATTTAACACTATAGCACTGAGGATAAAGTAATTTTACACTGTATTAAAAAGTGTTAATTTACCTAAAATCGTGTACTTCTACACTTCCTGGGTAAAATCCCACTTTTGTTCAGTGTAAATTAACACTACTTTGGAAAAGTTCTAATTTTATAATTGTACTTTTACTCTTTCAGTGCAAACTTCTAGTGTAAATTAACACTATTATTTGAGTAAACCTATTGGTGGTAGTGAATAAAATATAATTTTATATTTGAGTCGTATGGCTGGCTTAAGCAAAAGGGTTCCTTAAAACGTAAAAGTTTTAGATCAATGCAATGTTTTACTGGCTGTCAACTTGTAAGCAATGAATTATCTTGAGAATTCATCAGTAATCCATTTTTCTGTTATAAAAAATGGGTGATCCCATTGGTAGAGAGGCGTCAGGCGGCTGTATGTCGGGGATTTACCACACGTGTACAAATTTTCCATAATATTAATAAAAATGTAGGTATAGGTTATTATAACAACCATTACGCTTGAAAATAAAAAGTGTGTGTATGTGTGTATGTATTTATATTATTAATGTTACAAGTACCCGACCTACTGCCGTAATTATTGATTTATAATATAGGTCGGGTATGGACATCCTTTTAACATATTGGTATTTATTGAATATTAAGGAAGTATAATACTTACCAAAAAATAAGAATGTCCCCTTATGGATTCACCGTAATTAAAATCTAACTGAACAAAAATGCCACACTTCCACAACGCGGTGTCTCCGGATATGCACTGCGTAGGTAGATAGGTACCAACCAAAAAACGCATTTCGGTTATTACCAGTTTTTTCAGTCTATTTTGCCACTATTGGTGTAATTTAACTTTAATACAATGTGCACTGGTAGTGTAAAGAAAAAAGAGCTCTTAGTAACATCAAAACATACAAAGAAATTGGCATGCACTGTATTGTACATTTTGTCACTATTTAACACATTAAGGGGTAATAAACACTCGCATTAAGTTTTTCTACCCTTTTGATTTATTTTAATAAAAAATATTGTGAATGTACCAATGAATAATGTTCATATTCTTTAAATGTGTTTAATAAAGTTAATAAGCACTAAATGCTACCTAGTGTATTTTGTAGTGTAACTTTTACACTTACAAATCAACTCTTATATTTTTACCCCTACAATAAAAATTTTACACGGGCAAAATTTTTTACTGTGTATAAATAATTTTCATAGCTTTTGAACAAAAACACTTTGTATTACTAATAAATAATAAAATTAATATTATAATAATGGCCTTTAATAATTTATAAGCCAAAGACAAATTGTATATTAAGCTTCCGATAAATTGGCTTGATTAATAGGAAGGAAGCTCTTCAGGGTGTTCGTAACTAAGAAGCTTTCCTTTATACTTACTTATCACAAAAAGACATTTTGCAATGTTATGTCTTCTTGTAATTAATTGGATTTTTATTTAACTTCCTGTATACCTACATTTAATTTTGAATTACTTACTCAAAATCATCCAGAAAAAATCTTTTAACTGTGAAAATTATTATTGTGTTAAAGATTTCGTCCGTATTAAATGAAAAATTTAATTAATTTTACAACGGACTTCGCAAGATTTGATTTAATTAAAAAATGGATTTAAGTTACAAAGAGGTTGTCTAAAAATTAATATTTTACACTGGAAATTCTAAAATGTTTTAACGTGAAAAAATTTCATTTAAACCAAGTTTTATTAAAAATTAGTTTTAAATCTTAAAACCAATATTTTTAAATAAATAAATATAAAATAAAATACTTTTATGATATAACTCGCCATAAGTTAACCAAATGTAAAGCCGCAGAAGAAAAACAAAGAAATTCGAATAGTAAAAAATTCCTATTACTATTTAAAAGCGCGCATATGGCGCGAAACGGATGCACATGCATTCAAAATTAATCCATCGTTTGGCTTGTCAGCGCCAAATGGTCGGTTTGCATTGATATCCGATCGACGGTGCAACAAATGTTTGATAAGCCTTTTGGTTATTAAATTTTAGTTTGTAAAAATGAAATCGACGTGCAAGACCGTCTGTAAAATATCGCGACTCGTTGTGGGAAATTTATCCAGAAGATTGGTCAATAAACTGGTCATTTCGAAAAATTATCATTGCGGGTGTAACGCTTTAAATTTTGAAGGCGATGACAATTTTACCAGTAAGTATGTTTTTAATATGATAATAATAATATAAACTATATATCTGTCAGTGGCGGCCCGTCAGGGGAGGCAGGTGAGGCAGTGCCTCATCATAGAGAATTAAAAAATTAAGTATAATTTAAATATTTTACTTTCTATAATATACTATAAATTTTTAATATTTGGATTACATGAATTGAGAAATAGTCAATAAAATTGATTGATGTTATACGTGGAATACCCAGCAACATTTAAATTATTTGAATTTGAAACGACCGCAATTTAAACTAATATTTATAGCTAGATGATTGGCTCAGAAGCATGAATGAACTAATTTAGACTCACGATTGGCGTTAGCCTTGTTGTCTCGTTCTATAACAATGCGATATCATAGGAAATAAGCAGGTGTTGTGGCAACACTGTTGCGAAAATTTAGATAAATTATACTTCACAGGTTTTTCAAAATTCAATTATAAATGGTATTATTTTTCGTATAATAAATCGATTTAATCGAAATTATATTTCTATTCTAAAATAAACATATTTTAACACTATCGCCATCTTGTAGCCATCACAGTAACCAATAAAATAAATACAGATTCCTTCTTTAGGTTTGTTTTAGTTATAAAATTCTGAACTGTTTAAAGAACAAATGTGTGGTTATTTACGCAATATTTTGTTTATTCTTTTTCTATGAGTTTGTCTATTTTATGATTCTTTTGTAAGTGGTTTATTCTGTGGGTTTAGTTAATTGAACTTGGTGATTTATGTGAATTTAGTCATTATGGATATAACGGTGAGAAATTGTACGTAGTTCTTGCTAAACAATTAAATATTAATTAGACAAAAATGAGGTTTATTTAAAATAAACGTAATTTTTACAATAAAATATATTTCATTGACAAAGTAGAGGATTCCTTCCCCACCACAGTCTAAGTTTTTTACTTAGTTTTAAGTATAGGTTGTGAACTGCGACGTCAGTTTTTTAAGTTGGGTTTAAAAAAATTTCTTCGCCTTTAAATGAGGGCGAAACCCTGCCTCTGCCTCACCAAAATGAAATGTCACGGGCCGCCACTGATATCTGTTATTAATTTAATATATTAAAATGGGTAGTTCCTTAGTTTCCAGATTAATTAAGAAATTAATTTTGTGGTTATGGAGTTTTTAAAATAGGTGCTAAATTTTCTAATCATTGCTTAAGCTAATATATGTATGAGTAAATAAATACAGAAGGGTATTAGAGCTTTAAGGGCATAACACTTCTGTATTTATTTTGTTTTTATTTATTTTTTGCAAGAAAAATTTTTAGTAAATTTTTTTACAACTGGCAACGCGCAGCTACTTTGTTGGTTGGTACCTATGTACTCACAGAACATAAGTGTGTAACCAGTGGCGTATCACAAAAAATGTAAAAAACTTCTAATGCATATTTTTTCTTTACCTTTGGGAAAATATTTGTTTAAATATTTTTTCGTTAGACCTTATCAGTATTTTAATATATTACATTAATTACATAATACACATGTTCCACTACACCAAGTTGCCCGACACTGATGAGACCCAATAAAGGTCGAAACAGCTGTCTGTCGGTATTTGAAGTTGGTGGAACGCATTCAAAACAAAAATCTTTGGCGAGGTGTAGGTTCAATTTTTTCTTATAATTACATAAAACCCTGTATATATATATATATATATAGGTTTTTAATGCGTATATAAAAAATTGACAGGTGACAAAGTTTTGGTGGTAGTATATTCAATATAAACTTCAACAATTTCATTACAACTTCGGCTCAACAACATTCACTGGATTAATAATTAATCTTAGAAACTACAACATTCCAACTATAAAATATTCAATTGAAAATCTTCTATACATACAGGGTAGCCCAACAATAACGAATATGTAAACCTATAGGTTGTAAATTTTGTGTGATAATGGAGCCCAAAAAAAATACCTAATTTAAAAAATATAGACTTTCTTCAACTTACTATAGAAGAGTTAACAACGTTGTAAATCATTATTATCTACAAATCTTAAAACAGTCCCCTGGCATTTAATTCTATAATTTTTATTACAGAACAGATGCGTTTTATCTTACCTAGAAATACTTCAATATGAATAAACTGTAATAATGTTATTAATGATTTCTATAAAAAAAAACTTGGTGGAATGATATCCTCTAAACTTTTTTAAATTTCGGCTTCAAAAAGTGTCCAGAAATTGCTATTTCTTAACCGTCCCCATACGCATTTGAGTAAAATAAAATTGAACATACCACCCCAGCAGTAAAATTTGTCTTAATAACGCGGGAATTAGTCAGTTACAGCAATACAAAGTAAAAAGAATACGTTGGGTCTCATGAAGTGGTTTTGCGGTGCAATAATACGGTAATTATTTGCTTCCGTATTTTTATTTTGTTCCGAACCGTCCCTAAAGATATTTGACATGTATATTATATATACAACGTTAATTTGACGTGAATTTAACGTAAATGTGACATTAATTTAACGTTAATTAAACGTTGTAGTGCAATATTACTTAAATAAATTAACCATTTAACGTTAATTTTTAATATAAAAGATTTGATCTCCTTACAGACGTGCAAAATGAAAAATTCTTCATGAAAATAAGCAGAGAACAGGCAGTGGACCTTCTAAAAGACAAACAGAACGGGACTTTCATTGTCAGGCCTTCCAGTAGAGCCAACATGAATAGCATGTCCATAATCCAGGACGGGAAGGTGTACCATTTGAAGATTGGGTTGAGAAAAAACGGAAGAATATCGCTGGGCAATGAAAAAGACGACGAGGCAACCTTCAAAAACCTTAATATTTTAATTAACTATTACATCAGCAATACTTTGTATTTGTACTCTGAAGAGAGGAATGTAGAGACTTTGTTAATACCATACCATTAAGAAAAAATTATATAAATGTCTTACAAATTTATTAATACTTGTTCAGTTAATCGAAGTTGTATAAAAACCCTTTAATTGATTTCTTTCAAAAATAAATAATGTGTGAGAAACTCGATTAGTCCATTAATCAAAAGTGGAGAGTATATATATATATAAAAAAGTTCGAGCCTTTAAAGTTTCATTAGGTAGCAACAGAAATAGAAAAGTTTTCTTATAAGTTACTTGAAACGATGAAGAAACGAGATATGGTTCAAGAATAATAATCGCTAAGAAAGAATGCTTGTTTTTTCATTACTTTTACCTATACTACTTTTAATTTATTTTCTTGGAAATGCCAAGTTGGAATATAGCATTTTTTTGTACCTAAAATAAATAGTTTTCAAGTTTATTTTAAATGCGCCTCAATCAAAAATAGCATATATGCTGTTATCATTTAATAATCAGCTGTCAAACGCTTATGTTACAAACGAGTGTTTTTGATAATAAAGCCGGAAAATGTTAAAAAACATTGGCTCGATTTGTTGTGTTGTTGGGAGTATTTCGAGAGGAAATCCTGGGTTGAGTTTTTACCGGTTTTCCAATAAACAGTGTTAATCTGAATGAAGAAATAAATTGCATACAGTCTCTGTAAATATAAATTGTACCTATTAGACACAATAAATACACATTTTAGTAGTGATTAACGTGAAAAGTGTAAACATTTCAAGTCAGTAAAAATCGTCAAACAAATAAGTCGTCTAAATTTAAACAGCATTTAGCATTATTAAAAGCGTTGATAAAGAAAGTCTCCACTCAACGGTAAAACACCATTATATTATGTGTTATATATAATATTATGTTGCCATGAATTCGTAGGTATATTTTGTTGTTTAAAATGCAGTTGTCGGCGTTTTTTAGAGAAATCAAACATAAAAATGGTTGATTTTAAGGTTATGTTTATGCAAAAATTATTTTTTACTAATTTCTTAAAAATGTCCAAACTTAAATATAAATTATATTAGGTAAAGTTATCATTAGTTAATTCTGCACCAACAAATGTACCGAATTGGATCCTTTGGCAAAACATGAAAATGCATCGATTTAGTGTCTTGAATTTTATTTACTATTAAAAACACAATAATTGACCATCGAAATCGAGTACTAAAAAAGTTTTTTTTCCTTGCAACGTAAAACACAAATAACGTGCGCGATTTAGCTGTGCAATTGAACAAAATTTGTCGAGTAAGACTTCTGCTTTCATCTCTTTTGTGAAAAATCTACCTTTTTATTTAAAAATAATGTACAGTTCGTATGCTTTAAATGTATTGTTGACAATTCTTAAATTCACGCAATAGACCTAACATATCACCCTGTAGATTTTAAATAGGTTCCTCTAAAACCGTAAAAAAGTCATAACGGTGAAGTTTAAGCTTTGAGCAATTAGAACACCAACTTTGTGCGAAACTTTAACAGTAAAACAAAAAAATGAATCTTAAGGGTTCTTATAAGAAAATGTTTTTACGACTGCCAAAGTTTTTGTTGGAACTAAAATAAAATATTTTATATCTCACTGTGTGTAACCGTGTAATCTACGAAAGGGTGTTTTGTTATAACCTAATTTCGGGATTAGCACAATTTTGATCCTATTAAGGTAGGCGAATTATATTTTATCGCCCCCATTGCAACAAAAATACTTTAATAAGGGTAGGGTTTGTAATACTAATTTTTCGAATGCATAAATAACGCACAATCGTATTAAAATTTTTGTTTGTTCCATTAATATGTTACAGCTTTTATTTCACACATGCGACATTTCTGCCGGCCGTTATAACATTTGGTAAATGAGTTTGATAATGGTGAGTTTATTACATGTTTGGATCAATAGGCCGTCCTAAAATAAACACAATTTAGTCGCGTTTCATACACGTTTAGTTGTATGGTATTGAGTACTGTATTTCATGGAACCAAATTTATAAAGTCAGTCTCTTGATAAAAAAATATTAGCGGCAAGAAACAATATTTTAGCATAAAAGAGTATTTATTGCTTGAAGAAAAAAGTTCTTATTGGAAGAAGTACGAGGTGTGTTCAGAAAATAACGGGAATTGTTTAATTTCGCGGGTCCGGTTGTCATAAAATTTTCTTTATTATGTTGGTATACATGCCCCCGAAGTATGATAAAAACTTTAGCTGTTTTCATTGTTTACTTTGTCTGTGGCAGCCGCTAAGGTTAGACGTATTTTATGAGCTCGGCGATTTTTCGTTCGTTAAAAGAAATGGATCAAAGAATTTGTATCCAATTTTGCTTAAAAAATGAAATAAATTCTGTGAAATGTTAACAAAGGTCTATAGTGAGTCTGCTATAAGTAAAACAAGAGTTTACAAGTGGTATAAGAGTTTCCAAGATGGCCGTGAAGACGTTGAAGATGACGAACGCCCCGAACGCACAAGCACATTAACAACCGATAAAAACATGAAAAAAGTGGAAGAAATGGTTATAAACCATCAGAGAAGTCGCTGATGATGTTGGTATATGGATTGGCTCATTCCATGAAATTTTTTCGAATGTTTTGGGTATGAAACGCGTGGCAGCAAAATTTGTTCTAAAATTGTTAAATTTTGAACAAAATGTTTGGCCAAAAACAATAATGTAATGATGCCCCAGCCTCCATATTCGCCAGACATGCCTCTGTCTGACTTTTTCCTATACACAAAAATAAAAAGAACCTTAAAGGGCCTTCGTTTTGCAAGCATAGATAGACAATAGAAGCGCATCGCTAAAAGAACTAAAGGCTATCCCAAAGATCAAGTTTTAGAAATGTTTCGAGTATTGGAAGAAGAGCTGGCACATGTGCATAATATCCAATGGGGATATTTTGAAGGCGACAACATTAATGTAGACGAATAAATAAATATTTGTTTCAAAAAACGAAAATTCCCGATTTTTTCTGAACACACCTCGTACTATTGGACCAAGAGATATTTGCTCTAAAATCAAAATAAAATGCGGTTAGCTCAATAGTATATGCTTTTGTAGCAAGACAAATCTTCTTTCTTAGAAAGTGCCTAAGCTCAATTAAGAGATGCAGTTTTCTTGTTAAAATCCCATTTTTTGCGCTAAAAAAAGTTTTCTTCATTCAAAAGAGAAATTTCTTCCCAAAAAATATGTTTGGTTCTTGTACAAAGAAATCGCTTGCTCTTGATTTAAGCTAATATTGTGATATCCTTAAACGAATAGATTAATCTCTTCTATCAAGTAATTCAAAAAAAAATTATGTCAAAAAAAATTGTTCCATACATAAAAAAATAAATCACAATTGAAACATTAATGTCATCGCTGGGGCAAAAACAAACGCTGGATTAATGGGATAATGCCCCGAAGGCCTTTTAAAAGGGATGAAATAGAAAAGAACACGTGAATAATATAAAAAGTTTCTTATCTGCTTGCATATCCGAAGCGGTGCCGGCGTTTCGTAAAAATGGCCGGGCAGGCGTATAAAAGAGTCTTATCATCTTTGTCTTCAAAGAGGATTTCAAATACGTGGAAAACAGTGGATAGGAGCCACAGGGGTTGCTGTTTTTTACATTACTTAAAGGTAGTCTAACCTTAAAAATATTTGTCACATTTTTAATTTTTGCACTTGAGGGTTAGCATTCAATTTTACAAAACAGTCATTCCATAAGAAAACTTCCAATGGGTATCAAAATGTAAAACCATGCAATAAATTATGTAAAAATTTATAAAATTAAAAAAACACTTACGTATATTGAATATATATTCTTAAGAAATTTGATTAAATCATTTTTCTATTAATTTAATTTTGTATTTTGCCTCTAGGCTAGAGATAGAGCTAAGTTTATAGCAATATTTTCTCGCGTTGCCATGCTTGTGACATGTTTAAATTTAAAATTCATAATAAAGTGTTTCATAATTAACTTTTATAGCAATGGAATCGTTATTAGATTAATTATATTTTTCCATAAATTAAACTTTATTGTAGGACAAGATATCGAAGCAGATTCTTAAATTTTTAAAGAAATTAAAATAAAGTGCCTTTCTTGTAAAACAATACTAAATGTGAAAATTATTTTATTATCTCAATACAAAAATACAAAAGTATTTAATAGTTTCTCAACGCCAATATTTGAAAAGTTTATATGAACATTGTACTGACCTTTTAATTTCGCCGACAGTAAACTATAACTTAAATTCGGGTGCGGACTCATAAAACATTTTCTTTACTTGTGAAAAACTGTCAATTTTTAAGAAATACATTTCGATTAATAACCTTTATAATTGTGTTTATAAAATAAAAAAAATGTGACATTTGACGGTGACACACATATTCCCCTATTGTTTCATAGATGGCGCTGTATACAAATTTTTGATTTAAATCAATTTAAGATAATAATAAGTATTTGTCGTAGAAAAAGTATAGTATGCACCTCGTTTATAAACTTTTCTATACACTCATTAATTAAGGCACTCGCTCGCAAGCTCGCTCGTTCCTAAATTAAATGCGTGTATAAAATGGCGTTTATCAAACTTGATACATAATATACTATTATGTTAAAACCCATCTTAACTCTAATTAGTTGGGTAACCGCACTGAAAGGTTAAATGACTTACTTTGCATTCATTAATAAACGTATTTACATTAAATTTGCCAAAGACATCCTTTATGCATAAATAATAAATTTATTACCCACCTTATTAAAAATAAACACGAAGGAAATTTAAAACAATGCTGAATTAAATAAGCAACTTTATTTATCTTCAGAAATTTCGCTAAAATTTTATTACATCAAATAATTTTTATTCCACCAATTAATTTCGCAAATACATTCGACATAAGCAGGCTTTATATCGCGGGGTCAAAAGTAAGAGTTCTCATAAAAGTTAATGCCGCAGTTGTAAATAACAATAACAACAATAACTCTTAAAAGTAATACATAAAACAACACTCTCATAACGCAAGGCATAGCTTCTGCTGGCGTTGATATATCGCTATAAAAGCTTTATTCACATCGTAACGAAATAAATATCTGCACAAACGAGTATTGGCTGGATATAATTTTCGAGCATCGACGCAAATATACAACATGTAATTAAAAGGGCTTTAGAAGAAGCGGTAAACAGAAGTTACTACGTATCTTTGCCCTTGCACACATTAATGGCAGTTTCTGGACTTTATTTACACGCAGAAAGGATCGAGGTTAAAAATCAATTATTAAAAGAAAAGTTGCGGGTGGGGGTTCTACGAGTATATCACTAATGGATCTATTACCTTCCCCAAAGTTACTGCAACTTTTCTCTTTTCTATCTTATATAGGCACCTACGTGTTTACTTGGAGAGAACCTAATAATTCACTATTAACGTTTGTTTTATTTTGTTTTGGAGAGCCTATGTTTTCTTTGGATAATTTTTTAAGTGCTTTAAGTGTTTAAATTAACCTTAAATTAACGTTAGTTTGTAATAAGTGGGGAATTTAATTATGGTAAAATTAACTTTATGTTGGTTAAATATAACTTATTGGGTTTACTGAATTTTTTGCCCATTTTTCCCTATTTCATTTAAAATTGATTTAAAATACTTTTAAACATAAAATAATTTTATATTTTATTATTGGTTTGTTTACCTTATTTTTGGAATAAAACAAATAACTAAAATTTTATTTAAACCATTTGTTTATTTTATTGTGTTTAATTTAACTACACTGGTTAAATTAACCAATAAATGGTTAAATCAACAGTTTTTTCACATTCAATACAAACAATGTTTAAAAGTTAAAACTTTTTTTATAGTTATTTAATAAGCTTTATTTGTGTTATTTTTACCTATTTTAATAACCCTTAAGTTTCAACGCTAAAGTATTATGAGGGACGTAATTTTTATGAAAGAAAATTACTTATAAGTGTATTTTACCTAAAGAAAAATTTAACGGTAATTTTAACGTCAGAAAATTGTCATTGACATTCTTAAGACAGTTATATTTTATCTGAAATAAACATTCTTAAAACAGTTATAAATTTCCATTCTTTAGCCATTTATATCTAAATTTAGTGAGCATTCTAAATAAATATACATTTTTTAGACATTTTTATCTAAATTTAGTCAGCATTCTTATGACAGTTAAAATTTATCTTAATTAAAAGTGTTAAAACAGTTAATTCCAACTTTCTTAAGACAGGTATATTGTAGCTCAAATTAACATTCTTAAAACAATTATATTCTTGATAAAATCTACATTCTTCAGCATTGGCATTCTTAAAACAGTTATATTTTATATCAAATTGACATTCTTAAAACAGTTATATTCTAGATAAATTTACATTCTTTTTACATTTATATCTAAATTTAGTTAGCATTTTCATGACAGTTGTATTTTAGCTTAAATTAAGGTTGTTAAAACAGTTATATTTTAGCTCAAATTGACATTTTTTAGACAGTTATATTAAGCTTTAGTTGGCATTTAAGACAATCCTATTTTAGCTTAAATTGATATTCTTAAAACTGTTATACCTAGTTTAAATTGACGTTCTTAAGACAGTTATATCTAACTTAATTTGACATTCTTAGAACTGTTTTATTTATTCTTAAAACATTTAGGTATATTCTAGCTTAAATTGAAGTTATAGCTTTAATTTGCATTTTAAGACAGTGATTTTAGCTTAAATTGACATTGTAAAATCAGTTAAATTAAAGCTTAAATTGACAATAATAGGACAGTTAAATTATTAATTGTTTCGACCTTTACTTGATGAAACTCCATATTAACTATGTAGATATAAAAACAATTTTGTTGTAAAGTTTCACGAAATTTATTAAATTTTGACAGCTGTTTCGCTACACAGTAGCTTCTTCAGAATGTATTAAAACTAAAAATAATACAAAATATATATAACAAAAAATATTGGTATTCTAGGTAAGGATAATCATTTAACATCTACCTGTGTTACATAATAATAAACTAGGATCACATTCAGGTATTTCTGACATTCTTAAGACATATTTTATCTTAAATTGATATTCTTAAGACAGTTATTTCCAGCTTATATTGACATTATTCCTGAAACAGTTATATTCTAGCTTAAATTGACATTTTTTAGACAGTTATATTAAGCTTTAGTTGGCATTTAAGACAATCCTATTTTAGCTGAAATTGACATTCTTAAAACTGTTATACCTAGCTTAAATTGACGTTCTTAAGACAGTTATATCTTACTTAATTTGACATTCTTAGAACTGTTTTATTTATTCTTAAAACAGTTAGGTATATTTTAGCTTAAATTGAAGTTCTTTTGACAGTTATAGCTTTAATTGGCATTTTAGCTTAAATTGACATTTTTTAAACATGTAGAACATAATTTTCAATTGGAAATAAAAAAAACATTTTAGTTTGCGGCACTATAAACTAATAAAGGGGATGTAAAAAACGTGTCAAAATAACCCTGACATTAACCAGTTATAAGTACTATTGATTTTTTTATAATTAAAACGAGACTTACTGACCTAGGTCGACACAAATCTAAAAATTAAGTTGGATTTATAATGTATAAAGCTATTTGTTATAGCTGTAATCCTTGCGCATTCGCCATTTTTGTAACTACATACATATGAAATTCAACTGCGAACATTTTCTCTGTGCGCCACCAAATTATTAAACAAGTGCTATTGTGTGATTTAAAAAGTATGTCAACGTGTTTTTAATGAGTCTGCCTACCCCTACGTTCGCAACATAATACAAGTCACAAAACGTCACTCTCAAACATAAAAACTGGCATTTACCTTCGATCAAAGCTTGCCGTGTCCCAACAGAGTTGCGGATGTCGCAGCCACACTCGATTGAAAAAAAAAGTTTGTTGCACGCTTGTCACACAGCTGATATAACCTCAAAACGCCGATGTAACACGAGCCCGCGGATCGTCGCCAGCGAACGGCTTGCAGCGAGAAACTGAGGCTCCTGGATGGCGAAAATGTTTAGCGGATCGAGGCTGCCTTGCGCGCCGCCATCGATTTTGCGCCGCTGGACCAAACCTGGCCCGCTACATGTATTATACATGACCCACTCGTGGGTCTCGCGACGGCGGGTCACGAGTCTCCGGCTCCTCTTCTTCGGCCGGTTTAAGGCGGCCGAGAGAGTTATATACCGTGCAGCTCAAGCGACATGAGCGAGAGGTAGGTTGGTTGAATCGAATTTATCGGTGCGTCTGGTCTTCAATCTTTATAGGGGCGAATGTCGACAATGATTTAGCCTGTTCAGGCAGTTATATTTTAGCTCAAATTGATATTCTTAAACTAGTTTAAATTAACATTCTTAAGACACTTATATCTGGCTTTAGTTGGCATTCTTAAGGCAGTTATATCTAGCTTAATTTGACATTTTCCATATTTTAGCTGAAATTGACATTCTTAAGACAAATATATTCGGTTTTAGTAGGCATTCTTAAGGCAGTTATATTTTAGCTTAGTTATTTCTTGCTTAAATTAACACAGTTATATCTGGCTTTAGATGGCATTCTTAAGGCAGTTATATCTATTTTAATTTAACATTCTCAAGGCAGTTATATTTTAGCTAAAATTGATTATTGAAACAGTTAATTTTAACTTAAATTAACATTATTAAAACAGCTATATACAATCTAAAATTTATATTCTTAAGACAGTTATATGTTTGCTTAAATTGACGTTTTTTAAAAATTTGTATTTAAGCTAAAATTGACGTTCTTAAAAGTTATATCTGGCTTTAATTGGCATTCTTAAGGCAGTTACATAAATCTAACTAAATTTGACATTCTTAATTTTTAGCTGAAATTGACATTTTTTTAAACAGTTATATTCTAGATAAAATTTCCTAAGAGTTATATTTAAGCTCCAAATTGATATTCTTAAACTAGTTTAAATTAACATTCTTAAGACAGCTATGTCTGGCATTAGATGGCATTCTTAAGGCAGTTGACATTTTAAATATTTTAGCTCAAATTGACATTCTTAAAACAGTTATTTCTTGCTTTAATTTACATTCTTAAATGGTTATATCTGGCTTTAGATGGCATTCTTAAGGCAGTTAGATCCAGTTTAATTTGACATCCTTAAGACAGTTATATTTTAGCTAAAATTAACATTATTAAAACAGCTTTATTTAAGCTAAAATTGACATTATATTTTAGCTTAAATTGACGTTTCTAAAAACAGTTGGATTAAAGCTCAAATAAAAATTCTTAAAACAGTTATATTTTAGCTCAAATTGAATTTCTTAAAACAGTTATATTTTAGCTGAAACTGACATTTTGAAAACAGTTATACTCTTGCATAAATTAACATTTTTAACAGTTATATCTGGCTTTAGTTGGCATTCTTAAGGCAGTTAAATCTAGCTCAATTTGACATTCTTAATATTTTAGCTGAAATTGACATTCTTAAGACAAATATATTTAACATTCGTTGGCATTTTTAAGGCAGTTTTATTTTACCTTAAATTAACATTCTTAAAACATCCGGCTTCAGATTGCGTTTTTAAGGCAGTTATATCTAGTTTAATTTGACATTCTTAACAGTTAATTAAAACAGCTATATTCAAGCTAAAATTGACATTCTTAAGACAGTTATATTCTAGCTGAAATTGGCGTTTTTAAAAACAGTTCTATTCAAGTTAAAATTGAAATTCTTAAAACAGTTATATTTTAGCTGAAATTCAAATTCTTAAAACAGTTAACAGTGAACTACCTAGTGTAGGGTACTGAACTTCGCCTTTTGTTTGTAATAAGTTTTTTACAATTAATAAAGACATTATTATTATTATTATTATTATTATTATTATTTCTTGATTAAACTAATATTCCTAACAGTTATATCTGGGTTTAGTTGGCATTCTTAATGCAGTTATATGTAGGTAAATTTAACATTTTTAATATTTTAGCTATTTCTTAGGACAAATATATTTAGCTTTAGTTGGCATTCTTAAGGCAGTTGTATTCTAGCTAAAATTGACATTCTTAAAACAGTTATTTCTTGCTTAAATTAACATTAAAGCAGTTATATCTAGCTTTATATGGCATTCTTAGGGAAGTTATACCTATAACTGGTTAATTGGTTTAATTTGACATTCTGAAGACGGTTATATTTTAAATAAAATTGATTCTTAAAATAGTTAAGTTTAGCTCAAATTAACATTATTAAAACAGCTATATTTAAGCTAAAATTAAGACACTTATATTTTAGCTTAAATTGACGTTTTTAAAAACAGTTGGATTCAAGCTCAAATAAAAATTCTAAAAACAGTTATATTTTAGCTAAAATTGAATTTCTTAAAACAGTTAAATTTTAGCTAAAATTGACATTTTGAAAACAGTTCTACTCTTGCATAAATGAACATTCTTAACAGTTATATGGCTTTAGTTGGCAGTTAAATCTAGCTAAATTTGACATTCTTAATATTTTAGCTCAAATTGACATTCTTAAGACAAATATATTTAGCATTAGTTGGCATTTTTAAGGCAGTTATATTTTAGTTCAAATTTACATTCTGAAAATAGTTATATTCTGGCTTAAATTGGCATTCCTAATTAAAACAGTTATGCTTAGACACAGTAATATCTTGCTTTAGTTGGCATTCTTGAGGCAGTTATTTTTTTTAACTAAATTGGAATTTTTAAACAGGTATAATAAGGCATACAATGACATTTTTAAGACAAATATTTTCATATTCTTAGCTCAAATTTACATTCTTAAAATAGTTATATTCTAGCTGAAATTGGCATTACTAATTAAAACAGTTATATTCTTGCTTAACTAACATTCTTAACACAGTTATATCCGGATTTAGTTGACATTGTTATAAGGCAGTTATTTTTTTAAATAAATTGGCATTTTTAAAACAGTTATATTTAAACTTTAATTGACATTCTCAAGACAAATATAAGTTAGCTCAAATTTACATTCTTAAAATAGTTATAATCTAGCTTAAATTGACATTCCTAATTAACAGTTATATTCTTGTCTAAACTAACATTCTTAACACAGTTATATCTGGCTTAAGTTGTCATTCTTAAGGCAGTTACATCCAGCCTATTTCGACATTCTTAAGACAGATATGTTTTAGCTGAAATTGACATTCTTAAGAAGAATATATGCAGCTTTTTTAGTTGGCATTCTTAATATTAGTATTGTCAAGTTTCTAAAATGGCCAATCACTGTAGGTACTGTTTACCACTACACGCGGAAATAAAAATTAATGGTTTTTAATTTGCGACTTCCGCATAATGTGTAACATTAGGGAATAAATAACTTCATTAATTACAAGGGGTGGTGGTTGAATAAATCCACTCAATTATAAAGTCTAGACAGTTATTAAATTTACAAGCTTTGGTCCATAATTACTAAAAATCAATTGAGCGAGATTAAAGGCGTGGTGTCATTTAAAATTTTTGTTTTTTAACGTTTTTGAATTACACCGCGCCGCGCTGGTGAATTATGGCCGCAACAACATGCCGCATAAAATATGGGTATTATAAAACTCAATTAACGTTTCACCTAAAAATTAAAAAAGAAAGAAAAATAATAATAAAGGAGTAATTACGAAAAATTTAAACGGAAACTTCTTGCTCACCTAATTTAAATTTTGATTGGAATTTCCAATTAAAAATCATCACTAGTTTAAATCCAATTCTCTTTAAGTGTTCAATAATCACTCCACCAAATTGAATTTAAATAATTTAGCACGTCACTTAATTTATGTGACAGACAAAAAATAAATGGTTAATTCATTTATTTAATTTATACATATTCCATTAATTTGGCTTTGGTGGTGCGTAGATGAGTAAAATCAATCAAAAAGTAGTTAAATATAGGTGACTACGGTCCAGGAGAGACAAAGTAATCCTATCGGATACTATCCGCCGGATAGTAATCTTCGCTTTGAAAAGAATTTATATAAAATAAATTAAAATTTTATGTGAACACAGGTGAATGTTGTCCAATCATTGGACTTCTGCAGAAGTCAAACTGGCATAAGCTACCAACTTAATAAAAAAACACGAATCCAAATAAAAAAAATGAACTGTAATTACTGTGTAAACAAAAACAAAAAAATAATATGAGGGACACCCACAAGATCTGCTGTCTAACAAGGGTTTATAAATATTAAAGCGATGCCATTGGCCCAACAGTCACGTATGACCGCGGCACAATCCACATCCCGGACCGACCCAAATAATTTGTGGGTCTCCTGAGAAAACTTTTTGACTTGCAACGCACGCTCTCCCAGTGCATACTCTACTACCTACTTGAAAAATAAATTTAACATACCCAATGCTTTATAATGTATTAAAAACGCTTCACATTTCTTCAGTTATATCAATATTTTCTACAGAAAATGATCTCTATAGAAAACAATAAACTAATAAGAGCACAACATAACCTTTATGATCTCCACAGCACACTTTATATAGGCGCAGTTTTAACTGTCAAAGTTTGACAGCATATTTACCCACAATTGTGATTTTACCCAAATTACAACAATAATTAATTCAAATGTAAGTACCATAACATGCATGTAGTTACTTGAGATTAAACTAACATAAAATTATATAAAATTAAATAATATTTAACGCAATTTTATAGATTCAAAATCCAAAAATCAAAATAAACGTTTGAAAACGTTTCTAGAACTTTACTTAGCTAAACTGCGTTGGCAATACTGCGATTGTTGTTTAAAACTGCGTATAGATGGCGTTACTAATTTGTGTTTATTTTTCTATCGTTTCTTAGGTTACTTAACATACATTTTTATTATTCCATTAGTCATTACGTCTATATTTGTTTTGCCGCGCAAATACTCTGATAACAATTGTGCAGTTTGGTCAAGTTACTTATAAGTTATAACTACTAAGGAGCATTGTTTGCGTGACTATGTGAGAGTTATGCTTTTGTTTCTTCGTGATGTCAAGCCGAAAAAAAGGAAAATCGGCCAAAGTATCGAACGATAGCCTCAAACAAACTTCGATAATGGCCGCAATTATGAATATGAGTGTTAAAAAGGAGGGATTTAAGCCGAGTGTTAAAAAAGAGCAGTTTAAGCCGAAACTTACTGATGAACCCATTGAAATTAGTTCTGATGAAGAACCGCAAGTTCCTCTGGAAAAAAGCTCTTTAGTAATAGAACCACTGATTAATAGTGAGAGCGACGAGGAGTTTCTGGAGCTCCTGAAGGAAAATAAAAAGAGAGTGTTGAATAAACGAAAGTGCAACAGCAAGATTGTTTCATCCACGCCGGTAAAACAAATTGCAACTGAGATAAAACCAGAATTGTCCCTTATAAATGGTTGCAGTTCCATAGACTCATCCAATGACTCTGATATCACACTCATCTATAACCCAACCACCCCAGACCAAACAGTCAAAAAGGTTAATAAAAACCTTATGGATACAAGTGCATTCAAAAAAGTTAAATCCATCCCGCAACCAGATTCAATAACCAAAAAACCAATCAATCTACTTCCACTAAACTTGTTTGTAGATGTGCTGACTTCTGTACGAAATGCCAGACAACACAAACCCCTGGTCAAAGAAGACTACGGTATAATTGATACGTTTTTAGATTTGAGTCAAGATTATAAGTTTGTAATTTTTAAAATTTTCGTGAGGAAGGACAAGTGGCATAATATTTTCGATTTTGTGAAGGCTATAAATTTGGATTTAGACAAGGAAGGCATCCAGTTGATGTACGAGACTTTAGTAAGAAAAGGAATACTAGACACTGGTAAGTTTCTTCTTTTCCAGATTTTAAAGATCATTATGGTAACCCCTTGTTTATATAAAAACACTTTATTGCAAGTGTAATACTAAGCTTCTACCCTAGTTTTTTTTTAATCAAAATTTATTATAACCTCACTTTTTGACACTTGTCAGATTTGGAAAAATGAGGTTAAAGATAAAATTCGCTACGCTCGTGCATAATTAAACTCGTTACTAAAATGCTGTTTATAATGAATATTCTATAATACATCATAGAAAAAACTTGTTAGGTACATAATATAACCACTATAAATATTCTGACAATTTTACATTCCTAATTTAAATTACAGTTAATTTTTTTTTGGACTCGTTTTTTATTAAGTTGGTAGCTTATGCCAGTTTGATTTAGTATTTTCAGTATTTAAAAAATTGTACTTCTGCAGCAGAAGTTCTGCTGAAGACCTTAATTAAATACTCTGACACGTGTCAAATTGACAGTAATATTTATTATTGACAATTTACTTGTTAATTATTATATAATATTGGTATAAAAAGATAACTATGCCAAAAATAATATCAGATTCTAAAGTAAAAGAATTTTTAAGGGCAAAACTTTATTTTGATGAAGTTATGCCAAATGCCTCAATGGCAAAAAAGTACATCGCCTTATGGGCATTTTTGGAGTAAAAAAGTAACGTTTTTGGTTTTAAAAATATTAAATCACACATTATTTTCAGCCAAGCAGATTAAAATTTTTGAAATTTTAAAAAATAAGGGAAATAAAAAAACAAAAAATAAAAATTATTTGCTGTTAGGTTCAACCTTTTTGTGAAAAATATAGTATATATATATTTAGTAGTCACCTATATTTAACTACTTTTTTATATGATTTTACTCATCTACGCACCACCAAAGCCAAATTAATTGCATTTTTAACTACGAATTTTGACAACTCTACTTCTATTGATCAAAACTTGTCGAGTTGATTTAGCGTATTTTACATACAATAAATTAATTCTCCAATTTTAGATATCACTCAGGATGACCTATACTTGCTCCTTAACAACTTAAAAAGAGAACAAGTTCAGACACTCTATGCTAAATACAAACTGGGGCCTTCCGCCACAAATAAAGATAAAATGATCGATAATCTCATATTGAGCACCAAAAAGCAGGGTTGCCTGACGTTCGCGAAATCCCCGGAAGCGATTTTAAAAGAGAACATTAAAAAAATGATGGTTTACTACGTGAAGTTGAAGAGCAACGTGTCAGAGGCGTTCGACAACTTCCACTTGCTCAACACGTTCGTCAACAAGGAGTTTTACAACATTAGCGATTTTTTCTTCACCGCGCCAAATCTCGTTTTTCCTGAGGCGAAACTCGACGAATGCGTGGTTTTCGCGACGAGAAAAGATTTCTTGAAGTACTCGGAGGCAAGAAAGTTCGCCCACGAAATGACCGAATGCAAAGACCTGAACATGTTGTACGAGACCGCCGAAACGGTGTACACCCAACTCCAGATGATACAGGAAAATATGTAGATTTTTTTTTTTAGGTTTTAGGGAAGCAGTATAATAATTTTGTTATTTTTAGGGAAGTAAAAGTCGAAGTACCGAATAGTAATCCCTATATACAACGTTTTACAGCTAAACATGTCTACATAGGTGTTTTATCTTACTGCGTTAAACGTTTAATCACAAACTATCCAAACGAAGTTTTGACTTGGTTAACTTTCCTCGTTGAAAATTTCGGTGAAAATCCACGCGTTGGGAATTGGTATTTAAATTTGTCCTGGATTAACACGCAATACTTAAAACCTCCCAATAAAGATAGGGTAAGTAAAAGACATGAAAATTGGTTTTTTTTTTCGTTGTCTCTTTTTGTTCTTCCTTGCTGCAGTTTAAATATTCACTTTGCTTCTGTGTTTTAGGGCGCAGAGTTATTGATAGAGGCTCTTTCGAACAAGTCGAAATTTTACTCTGAAATCGTTTTGCACGAACTGGCTCAAAAGGCTAGAAAGTTGATATCCGCTAAAAAAGATCGTCTAAGTGAGCGTCTATTTGTCGAGTTGAATGTGGTCCTTCCCACAGATTTTGTCAAGTTTCCCACTACACCTCCTATAATAGCGACGTGCCTAAAAAGGTTTGTCCTGTTTCACAACACACGAAAATATAGAAGTGTATTGGATGACACCACGTTTAAATACAGTGTTATAAACCCTCGCGGTATTATTAATTAATTAACCAAGCTGTGTTAAATATTTTTCCTAAAGGAATAATTGCCAATACCAGTGGAGATAGTGCAGGGTCTACCAACAGACTTCATTACTAAATTATTAAAGTGTAATAGCATATCGATCGTTTTTTCAACATAACCTCTGAAATTTGTAATACAAATATAGGTACTTTATATAATACATAAATACACTTTAGATCATATCCTCTGTGCTTTACATACCTGAGCTGTTATGGTAAATAAAAATAAGACAAAGGAACCAAAAAAAGAAACTGTTTTCAACAAAATCATATGCAGAAATGAGAATATTCAAAATACTTGCATCCATCAAAAGATCAAAACTTGTGCAATATTGAATTACACCCTCTTTTTATGCTCTCAGAAATATTTACTAGAACAGTATTAGAGAGACTCCAGTTTCTATAAATGGTAGAGTAAAGAGAAGTCGAAACCGTTACGATATTGCATTGCGCTATTTTTTATAATTATCGGGGACATTAACGAAAATCATTGCCAGTAAAATTCGAAAAGCTCGAGTTTCTATGTCTCTGAAGAGAATAAGAATCCGAAGTTGCTGCACCATTGGACTGCCCCTTTTTCAATAATTTCCAGAGACATAAATTACTGCGCCATTCGACAGGGTCGAGTTTCTACCTCTCTGTTGAATATGGAAAATCAAAATAATGTATCTTGTAAGACACCATTGAGTTTCACTTAAACTATAGTCGTGCATAGATATAGAGGCGAAAAATATACAGTTCTGAGTCATCCTATACACTTCTATATTTTTTCGCTTGCTACGTACTCTGGAACTTCTTTTGGACAATTTAACTGGTTTTGTATTATATTAATAAATCCGGAAAAAAGAGGGACTACTTTATGAACAACCTGGACGGTTCCCGAAATTTCATGGGGGTGGAAGATGTAGCCCGGCGCCACTACATCGATAATGAGTACTATGAAGACGGTGCTCATTGCGAAGGCTACCTATTTCAAGCCACTTACTGCCTATTTTTTTGGGACTTAATCTACGAGCACCACGTCCCCGGCACGTTCATCTCAAAGTACCAAACGGTACCGTTGGACTTCTACTCGATTAAATTCTACGAGAATCGTAGAGACGTCATCGACGAGAGACTAAAGCAAATCGAGTCGGCGTGGACCGACGAGGAGGCCTTGGATTTTCTGCTGAAATCGTGGGAGAAAAACTCGCACAGGCACTCGTTTTGCAGTCTCGCGAGGATCGTGGAAGATCCCGACATTTTAAGCACGATTTTGCTGTGCGTTCCCAGGGGCGTGCTGGCAAAAATTTACGCCCGGTTCGCGCAGAGTTTTGGCGAGTTCAAAAGCGGGATGCCCGACTTGCTCATGTGGGACACCGCTGGAAAAAGGGTGTGTATATACGGCTACCCTCGAAAGCGATTTATTTTGTTCTTTCCGACGTTTTCAGCACAAAATGGTGGAGGTTAAAGGTTATGGGGATAAACTTCAAACAAACCAGAAAGTCTGGATTCAGCACCTTTTAACTTTTGGAGCAAATGTGGAAGTTTGCCTTGTGAATTGTAAGTTGCATGAATATTTCGTGAAAGTGAATTATTTGTTGTTATTTTTTAGCTCAGGCCAAAAAGAAGTGAACTGTGATAATCGTTACTGAAGAATGTTAAAATTAAGTTCTTAAATATTTTTATAATAATTATGTTAAAATCATATGTTTTATAATCGTGTTTTTTTAATTTTAAACCAGCTAACTAAAAAAAGTAGTCTCCGGCCCAAATACTATTTCCATGCAAAAAATTATGTCGATCCGTTAAATTTGGCTACACAGCTAATTTGTTTTAATCAATGCAGCCAATTTTGGTTCCGTATTTACCAACCAAACCCCTAAATTTGCAACGTTGCCACAGTCCAGATAAAAAAAATAACTTTACCTACTATTTCCATGTAAAAATGCGTCGATTAATTTAAAGAGGTATAATTAAAAACTTTTATATTTCAAAATAAGATATATTGGAAACAATAAAATAAATTATCCTTTTATAACAAAATATCCGCCCAACTAATAATAACAGGCGTTTTTAAACTAATTTTAATTAATTCAGAATTAAATTAAAAATAATTTCTGTACAATTGAAAACATATAGGTACCTATAATTGGTCAAAATAGTACAAATTTAACGACTGAAAATGAGTACAATAGCTATAAATATTATGAATACTTACACATTTTATATTAGGTAAACTATTACTTTGCAGCATGACCAAAATTTATAAAAAAAATATTGTATATTGTACCAACATAAAGTACTATCCAAACTTGCTTACAAAGTTGTATGTGGAATAATTATAAAATTTATTGAAATAAAAATTATATGAAAACCATTCCACAAACAAAAATATCCCAACCCTATTACTAATAAATATTTAAATTAAAAGTACTTAAAAGAATGTGCAGTGAAAAGCTGTTTACTAGAAATATTTATGTTTGGTTTTTTAACATTATTTTCGTTAGTCATTGAAATGAAAACAGGAGTAAAACAAATCAGTAAAATTCAGTCAGTTTTTTAAACTTGATACAAGCTTACAATGAATTGTTCTCTTTACAACGAAATCATAGAGTAAATGCTCAACAAAATTTAGATTTTTCATTCCCCATCGACTTTTGAAGTTTTTTAATTCAGCCTTTACTCCAAGTACGTTAAATTTATATATATCAGAATACGTTAATGTAACTATAACATCTTAGGAGGTCGTTTTCTTGCGGTGGTGATCGTAGTTGACTAGTCGTTGCCCGACCAAATATTTGTCGTTCTTGATGTGTTCGTATAGCTTTTTAAACTGCCGAATTTGAAAGGTGACTATTTCTACTACTATCACAACCAGCAACAGGAAAGGGTATAAGCGGCGGGCTATGAGGTTGCGGAGTTGCAGATTGGTCACGAATAGGGGAATTATGGAGTACGCTAGAATGTATGGCACGGCTAAAGCCAGACCGAAACTCATTATGACTGGAGCGGCCAATTCCTTGAAAATGAAGCCCAAATTCATATCCCTAATTCCGTCTCGGTACGCTCTATCGATGGCGTTACGTATAAACCAATCTGGACCCATCATGGTTAAAGCGCAGGCTATTTTCGTGTACAGCACACCCAAAGCCCAGTCCTGCCAAATAAACAGTATCGGTGTTTGGTGAATTGGCACTCTCAATGGAATTATCACCACCAATTCCAGTAGCAAACCAAATAATAGTGGTATAACGCCAAGCAAAATGGTACTGGCCACAATGGTTTTTAAACCCAATATGCACCAATGGCGCAGTCGCTCAATCATCGCTGTCCTACCTGGAATAACACCGCTTACATAAGAACCGTTCCAAATGAAATCATAGAATCCCGAATGGTACAAGAAAACAAGGTATGTTCTTGCGCATGTCAAAAGAAAAAAACCTGGAAATCCAATACATTACGCTAAAGAAATATCGGGTTGGACTGGTGGACTTCAACAATACATTTAGACCAAAGATTATACATCATTTTTAAATAAAAAGATAGTTTTTTCACAAAAGAGAGGAAGGCAAATTTTGTTCAGTTGCACAGCTAAATCGCGCACGTTAATTGTGTTTTACGTTGCAAGAAAAAAATTAAAAAACTTTTTTAGTACTCGATTTTGATTGATTATTCTTTATATCATTGATTAAGAAACTCAACGCTTAAATGCTTATATAGTAACGTTAGTGTGACACACTAAGTGTGTGCATTTTATCTAAGGGATAATGGTGAATTATTGTGTTTTTAATTGTAAATAAAATTCAAGAACTAAATCGTCGCATTTTCATGTTTTGCCAAAGGATCCAATTCGGTAAGTACATTTGTTGATGCACAATTAACTAATGATAACTTTACCTAATATAATTTATATTTAAGTTTGGACATTTTTAAGAAATTAGTAAAAAATAATTTTTCCACAAACATAACCTTAAAATCAACCATTTTTATATTTGAGTTCTCTAAAAAACGCCGACAACTGCATTTTAAACAACAAAATATATCTACGAATTCATGGCAACATAATATATTATATATAATACATAATATTATGGTATTTTACCGTTGAGTGGAGACTTTCTTAATCAACGCTTTTAATAATGCTAAATGCTGTTTAAATTTAGACGACTTATTTGTTTGACGATTTTTACTGAATTGAAATGTTTACACTTTTCACGTTAATCACTACTAAAATGTGTATTTATTGTATCTTATAGGTACAATTTATATTTAAAGAGACTGTATGCAATTTATTTCTTCATTCAGATTAACACAGTTTATTGGAAAACCGGTAAAAACTCAACCCAGGATTTCCTCTCGAAATACACCCAACAACACAACAAATCGAGCCACGGTTTTTTTTCGATATTTTTCAACATTTCCGGCTTTATTCTCAAAAATACTCGTTTGTAACGTAAGCGTTTGACAGATGATTATTAAGTTATACTTTTGTTACGATGTGGTGGCGCTACTAGCGTATAACCACAAAATTAATTTTTTTCTTTCTGTTTACTCAGATGAAATTAAGAATTGTCACTTTTTTAATTATGCTAAATTTAAACAAAATCTGGAAACTTTTTCGACAGAATCTGGAAACGCTGCTTGTTACCAACATAACATAATAAAACCTTGTTTTCTTGTACCACGAATGACTTCATCTGGAACGACAAAAAACAGCAGACTTACCTTGAGGCAGCCATCCCAACACCAAAGTTATGGCCCTAGCTTTCAACCAGCAAAGGTAAAGCCCACACGCGGCTGTGTACAATTCGTGCACTTTGACCTCCGTTTGGGCCTCGGTGGCTGTCAGTTGCGGCCCAGGTGGGGGGGCGCCGACCAACCACAGGGCCATCACGCTCCTGCCGAGCCACACGGGGTAAGTGAGTGCTATAAGACTGGTGGCTATCAGCGATACGCAGATGGCTATCAAAAGACCGAACAGACGCGCTATGAAGAACGAAGGCCGCTCGTATGGAATGTAACCTGGAAGAAGTACTAGTACATAGAAATCCTCTCTCCTCGAGAAATCGTTGGTTGAAGTTTCAACCAAGGCGTTGCAACGCACAGACAGGTATTTTGACCTAAAACGTGGCGAAAAATATTCGGGAACTTTTTCTGTACAAAAAGGGTAGCAAATGACTAAAAAATGACTAAAAAACAACAATTTTATTTATAAAAATGTTACAAGTAGGGTAATTAATGTAATATATTAAAATACTTTTATCCGAAATCGGCAGTAAAGTAGTCAACAATCGGCAGAAAGTACAATACGAGTATTGTATGCAACCCATTATACATTTTTAGATGTGTCTACTACTACTCAGCAGCAACTAAATATTAGAAAAAAAGTTATTTTTCGAATGTTTTTTTATAGATTATATCACGAGAACTATGAATTTAATCGGTTAAACTAGGCTCAGTAGTTTTTTGTTTGGTTTTTCTTGGAAAATGTTGAATGCAAAATAATTTAATAAAATCACGAGACCTTGTAGCGGTCGAGGGATTTATTTTTAATTATTTTGCATGAAACTATCTTCCAAAAAGAAAAATCAAATAAAAAACTTACTGAGCATAGTTTGACAGATTAAATTTATAGGTTGAGTGATATACGTCTAGATTATTTCTCGAATTAAAGGAAACTATTTGACAATTCATAAAATCTGACGTATGTATCAAAATTTATAAATATTTTTTTAACGAAAATTCCATTAATTTAAGGTATGTAATAAGTAATAATTGATATTTCGTAAACTAGATAACTTATTTTTTATTGTTTTTTAAAAAGTGTTTGTTAAAACTTGTAAATAACACCATAAAATCGTAAACAAAAATCCAATATGGAGGCTAAAATTTAATCGCTGTTAAATAGTTCTAGTGATTTAATCGCTTATTAAAACGAAATTTATTCGAAAATTCAAGGCTTTTGATTGGTTCATATTATAATGAGGGAAATATTCATTATTAAATAAAAGGGCTTCAAAATAATAAATTGAAGTATTTTTATCCGAAAGTTTATAAAGTTTAATAAAGGCGTTTAAGAGTTAGATTTTTTTACAGTTTTTGCAATAATTATGGCCAATACTGCAGATGGATATAGTTCAAAATATTGTACATACCTGGATTGACGATATCCATGTCAACTTTTTCCACCAAAATCACTTTTAACGTAAGAACAACACGGCGAAATTTTGTGTCGCGAACGAAGGTAGCAACTACACCAAAAGATCTGGTAATGCAAACCAAGAAAATTGAGTTTCGGCCGCGTTTTAGCTCGAAGTACCTGTCTGTGCGGCGATTTAAGAGTTGCATTTACCTGTTGGCGGTTCCATCATGTGCAAGGCTTGGTGGACGGCCCCCAAGCCGGCTCCAGGCTCCGGCACTTGGTTCTGCGCCTGCCCATTCGCGTTCTGCGCGTTGTCCTGGCCGGTTTTGACGGTCTCGTCGCCGAGCAAGTAAGAATGGATGTTGAGGATCCACGAAACGACTCGGCACCAATTTCGCACCAGACCCTTCAACCAGATCCTGGTGTGCGATTGCTCGAGGAGGGCGGGCAAGATGACCTGCAGCAGCAGAAGCTCGAGAGAGAGCTCGTTGATTTGCGTTTCGTCGTTGAGAGAGACCCTGTAGGGCAGAAAGGTGGGCAGAAGCCACTTCAAAAGCCTGATGGGCAACCAGAGCATCAGCAGCACCGCGCTGCCGAAGATCACGGCCGAAATCAAGAGCTTCCTGGTGTGCTCCAGGATGGGCAAGTGGATCATCTCCTGGATGGGGCTGAAGTCGGGGTCATTGAAGTTGCGCAGAAACCATAAAACCCCCGGACGCAGAATCTCGCGCAGTAAGAGCACGAAAGAAGCGAAATAGTACACGTAGACCATCCCTAAAAGTACAGCCGTTTTGCTGCCACGTTTCCACCACAATCACCCCAGAAACTTACCTATCAACCAGTGGATGAATATGGAAGTACCGGGAGCCGTTTTGTAGCTAGCCTCGCGATCTTTCAACGTCGCATCGAACATAGCTAAAGAACAAATATCCAACCACCAACCGCACACCAAAGGTAAAATTCCGATCTCCAGAACAGACAGCAGAGAAACTTTCACCACCAAAAAGCACAGACCCAGGACCCTTTTCGTTTTGTTGAAGCTCAACATGGACGCGACCCTGAAAATTCTCGTATTTCAATCGATCCAACAACTGAAGTGTACGCTAAAGAAGTATCGGGTTTTCGCAAATTTTGTTCAATTGCACAGCTAAATCGCGCACGTTATTTGTGTTTTACGTTGCAAGGAAAAAATTAAAAAACTGGTTTTGTACTCGATTTCGATTTATTATTCTTTATATCATTGATTAAGAAACTCAACGCTTAAATTCTTATATATTTACGTTAGTGTGTGTATTTTATCTAAGGGATAATGGTGAATTATTGTGTTTATAATTGTAAATAAAATTCAAGAACTAAATCGTTGCATTTTCATGTTTTGCCAAAGGATCCAATTCGGTAAGTACATTTGTTGGTGCAGAATTAACCAATGATAACTTTACCTAATATAATTTATATTTAAGTTTGGACATTTTTAAGAAATTAGTAAAAAATAATTTTTGCACAAACATAACCTTAAAATCAACAATTTTTATATGAGTTCTCTAAAAAACGCCGACAACTGCATTTTAAACAACAAAATATACCTACGAATTCATGGCAACGTAATATTATATAAAATACATAATATAATGGTGTTTTACAGTTGAGCGGAGACTTTCTTAATCAACGCTTTTAATAATGCTAAATGCTGTTTAAATTTAGACGACTTATTTGTTTGACGATTTTTACTGAATTGAAATGTTTACCCTTTTCACGTTAATCACTACTAAAATGTGTATTTATTGTATCTAATAGGTACAATTTATATTTACAGAGACTGTATGTAATTTATTTCTTCATTCAGATTAACACTGTTTATTGGAAAACCGGTAAAAACTCAACCCAGGATTTCCTCTCGAAATACACCCAACAACACAACAAATCGAGCCACGGTTTTTTTTCGATATTTTTCAACATTTCCGGCTTTATTCTCAAAAATACTCGTTTGTAACGTAAGCGTTTGACAGATGATTATTAAGTTATACTTTTGTTACGATGTGGTGGCGCTACTAGCGATACTTCTTTAGCGTGTGGGCACGTACCTGTGGAAGAACAAAAACAACAAACCGACGGTGCAATAGCCCACCAAGGTGGTCAGCAACCCGTCAAAGTGGCTGGTGAACTCCGCCTCCTTGACGTTGAAAAGCGACACCGTCAGAACTCCGAAGTGGTAGGGAGCGTAAGCGAAAATTAGAATGAAGAGCGTGTTCAGGGAGATCACCCAGAAAACGTGCTCGAGAAACATCAGGGACCCGTCCAGGCCCAACAAACGCTCCCAGGTTATCTCTTCGGCGGCCCTGTCCCACTCCATGGGGATCCAGTTGTTATCCTCGCCGACGTTGCCGTCTCCCTCCGCCTGATTATCGTCGACAGCCGCGGCATCTGTCGAAAAATGCAGTTTTTCGTCGTTTCTTTACATTTTTAAATTGTTTTTACGAATTGGAGGTATAGTATTGCTAAAATCATTGCATCAAGTGAAAGTGGTAGTGCAACTACAGGGCGATAGATGGCGTTTACGTGAATAATACCATAGGGTCCCTAGATTTCGGACCTTAGAATACCAAAATGTCAAGTAAGAGTTTTATAACCTAAATGATGCCCATTTTTAGCTATAAAACCCAGAAATTTTGCCATCCAAAGTCAGTCTCTGGTATATATTATTATTTTTTGTATCCAACATATATTTTGTTAAATATTCTATATAATTAATAATAATCCTATTTACCTCCCTAACAGCTGTTAAAGGTAACAAAGGTCCATTATTATCCCGTTCTGATTTTTACATGAATTACAAAATTCCAAAGTTAAAAGATCAAATTGTAAAACTATATAAATTTTTAAGGCATGATTTTAAGGAAACGGGAAATTCCAATCAAACCTTTTTTGTAGAACGTTCAATTTTCTTCAAAAAATATTCTTAAGTCAATTTTGTTAAACTCAATGGTTTTAGAGTTCTGAGACAAAACCTCGCTCGGGAAAAAAAAAATCTAAAATTGCGATGATAGACCTCTTAATATTAATATTATGGACTCAAACTTTCACCATAATTTTTTTTTGTCACCCCAAACAATATTTTCGATATACTTTACAAAAAAAATAGTCGTTTTTTTCGGCCCAGTCCAATATACACTCACAGGCAAAATAATCGATCCACACAAATTTTCGATGAATTTCAATCGCAAATAACTTTCTTATTTGATGTCGGATTTAAACGAATATTAAAGAATATTGTAGATAAATTAATGGACAATCGCTCACATTTTAAAAAATTACTAAAAAATAGACGTACGTTTATAATATACAGGTTTAAACAAAAAGATGTTTTTTACCATAAGTTTAAGACACTCTCTAGAGTGGCAAAACCGTATATTGTTCTAAATTAAGTTTTATTTATCTATTCTTAACAGTTTTGTTTTTGGTTCACCTTGATATATTTATTTTTGTGGAAAATATGGATTTTTAAAAAAACATTGCAATTTCCAATATTTTTCTGTATGAAGAACTAAGGTTGCTCCATAGGCTATGGAGAATGACAGTGACAGTTTTGTGGAATCATCCCATACTTGGACATGTCATACACGGCTTTCAAAAGCTATCATTGTTTTTTGCAAATTAATGTTTAAATTTTGAGGTGTCTTCTTACTTTAAAAAATGGATATGTCTCCGACTGATGTTGCCAGAGCCATTAATTTAATCCAGGATGGACGGTCACAGTATTTGGTGGCAAGTGTTTTAAAAATCACAAGAAGTAAAGTACAAAGGGCAACATCAGTCGGAGACATTTTTAAAAGTAAGAAGACACCTCAAAATTAACACATTAATTTACAAAAAACAATTTGATATCTTTTAAAAGCTGTATATGACATGTCCAAGTATGGGATAATTCAACAAAACTGTCCCTGTCATCCTCCATAGGCTATGGATGGATCATAGCAACCTTAGTTCTTCATACAGGAAAATATTGGAAATTGCAATGTTTTTAAAAAAAAATCCATATTTTCCACAAAAATAAATATATCAAGGTAAACCAAAAACAAAACTGTTAAAAATAGATGTGACTTGATAATTAAAACTTAATTTAGAACAATATACGGTTTTGCCACTCTACAGAGTGTCTGAAACTTATGGTAAAAAACATATTTTTGTTTAAACCTGTATATTATATACGTACGTGTATTTTTTAGTAATTTTTAAAATGTGAGCGATTCTCCATTAATTTATCTACAATATTCTTTAATATTCGTTTAAATCCGACATCAAATAAAAAAGTCATTTGCGATTGAAATTCATCGAAAATTTGTGTGGATCGATTATTTTGCCTGCGAGTGTACATTCTTACCTTGAATCGGCTCCTGCACGTTCTCCTCCACCTCGGCCGCGTTTTCTTCCGGAATGTTGTCCAAGACCCTGGCCGGAGGGTCGTCGTTGCCCTGGCCGGCGGCGTTGCCGTTTTCTCTGGGCAACCATTCGGGGTTGCCGCCTCCGTGCAGGATCTGCTCCCTGAGCCACACCAGGCCGGCGAACGCGAACAAGGTGCACGTGACCACGAAGCAACCTTGAAAAATGTCCGACACGATGTTTTCCGTCGACAGCATTTCGAAGGGGAGCGTCAAGATGGCGTCCAGAGTGCCGGTAAATAAAGATCTAAAAACGCATTTTTTTGCTGATTTGAATTTATTTCAACATGTTAAGTTTTTAGCATTCTTATATTTGGCTTGGACATTCGAAACTGTTTTTGACATTCTAATATTTGTTTTTGACATTTTTGGAATGTTTTAATAATTCCAAATGTGCTTTTGACATTCTAAAATTTACTTTTGGATTTTTTACACCCTTAGAATGTTCTTAACATTCTGTATTGTATTTTTTATAATCTAGAAGTCGTTTTTACCATGTAAAAATTAAACATTCCAAATTATGTTCCTTCCTACATTCTTAAATGTGTTTTAGGTTTATAAAATGTTTTTAACATTTTATTAATGTTCTGGATATTCTGCAATTGTCAAAAACACATTTTTAGAAAGTTTTAAACATTCTAAAAATTTCTTTAAACATTCTAAAATTTTGACAGATTTAGAATGTTTTAAACATTATTTTGACATTCGTAATTTTTTTGACATTCTGAATTACGGTTTTAATATTCTAGAAGTTCTTTGCCATTTAAAAAATTAAAAATTTCAAGATGTATTTCTTCTTACTTTCTAAAATTTGTTTTTGAGGTTTATAAAATGATTTTAACATTCTAATGTTTTGGATATTCTAAAATTGCCAAAAATTCATCTTTAAAATGTTTTAAACATTCCAAATTTGTTTTTAACATTATGTATTGTTTTTGTCAAATCAAAAACTTTTTGACATTCTTAAGTTTGTTTTTGACGTTTTTAGTCAAAATACATTACATTCTACAATTTGTTTTCAAAAATATTTCAAAATGATTTTTACACTTTTAGAATATTTTAAACATTCTGTAATATATTTTGACATTGTGAATTATGGTTTTAATATTCTAGAAGTTGTTTTTGCCACATAAAAAAATTAATCATTTTAAAATATGTTTTTGACATTCTAAAATTTGCGTTTGAGGTTTAAACATTCTATTAATATTTTGGATATTCTAAAATTGTCAAAAACACATTTTTTTAAGTGTGTTTTTGACATTCTATATTGATTTTGACATTCTAAAATTAGCTGTTGGGATTATTTCAAAATGTTTTTTACACTCATAGAATGTTTTTAACATTCTGTTTTTTAGAATTAAGGTTTCAACATTCTATAATGCAATATTGTTTTTAACATTTTTAGAATGTTATAAACATTCCAAATTTGTTTAAGATATTCTAAAATTTGTTTTCAAGATTGTTTTAAAATGTTTTTTACATTTTTAGTATGTTTTAAACATTCTGTAATGTATTTTGACATTCATATATCTTTTGACATCCTAAATTATGGTTTTAGGTTTTTGCCATTTTTCTGACATTTCAAAATTTTTGTTTGAGGTTTATAAAATGTTTTTCACATTCTATTAATGTTTTTGGATATTCTAAAATTGTCAGAAACACATTTTTAGAATGTTTTAAACCTTCAAAGTTTGTTTTTGACATTCTATATTGATTTTGACATTCTAAATGGTTTTCTAGCATTCTAAATGTGTTTTTGACAAATTTGTTGTTGGGATTATTTCAAAATGTTTTTTATTCTTGGAATGTTTTTAACATTTTATGTTTATTAGAGATTTGTAATTTTTTTTACTGTCTAAATTAAGGTTTCAACATTCTAATTTGGAAATTTGTTTTAACATTTTTAGAAATATTTTAAAATGTTTTTACATTTTTAGTATGTTTTAAACATTCTGTAATGTATTTTGAGATTCATATATTTTTTGACATCCTAAATTATGGTTTCAATAACATTCTAAAATTTTTGTTTGAGGTTTATAAAATGTTTTTCACATTCTATAAATGTTTTTGGATATTCTAAAATTGTCAGAAACACATTTTTAGAATGTTTTAAACCTTCAAAGTGTGTTTTTGACATTCTATGTTGATTTTGAGATTCCAAAATGTTTTTATCACTCTAAACGTGTTTTTGACATTCTAAAATTTGCCATTGGGATTATTTTTAAATGTTTTTGGAGATTTGTAATTTTTTTAAAGTCTAAATTAAGGTTTTAACATTCTAATATGGAAATTTGTTTTTAACATTTTTAGAATGTTTTAAACATTCTGTAATTCTAAATTATGGTTTTAATACATTCTGACATTCTAAAATTTTTGTTTGAGGTTTATAAAATGTTTTTCACATTCTATTAATGTTATTGGATATTTTAAAATTGTCAGAAGAACATTTTTAGAATGTTTTGACATTTGACATTCTAAAATGTTTTAACATTCTAAATGTGTTTTTAACATTCTAAATTTTTTAAAATTCTATGTTTTTTAGACATTTGAAATTTTTTTGACATTCTAATTTAAGATTTTAACATTCTATGTGTTTTGACATTTGGAAATTTGTTAATGACATTCTAAACATTGTTTTAAAATGTTTTAAACATTCTGTAATGTATTTTGACATTCATATATTTTTTGACATCCTAAATTATGGTCTTAATATTCTAGAAGTTGTTTTTGCCATTTTTCTGACATTCTAAAATTTGTGTGAGGTTTATAAAATGTTTTTAACATTCTATTAATGGTTTTGGATATTCTAAAAATATCAGAAACACATTTTTAGAATGTTTCAAACATTTAAAGTGTATTTTTGACATTCTAAATTTTATACTAACCTATATATTCTACAAGCTGTAAGGGGCACCACTCCGAGCCATGCTATTGCCACCAAAGTATAGTGGAACCAATATTTAACAGCTGTAGCCACAGAATTGACCAAACCCCCTGCCAAATCCTTCAGAGGCAGTCTTCTGGGCATATCCGGTGAATATATGGGGGTGAAAGAAAACCTGTGCCCGCATAGCTCGCAGTATTCTTTTCGAGAGTACCTCATCCATTGCATCAGGCATTCCTGGTGGATCCACTTAATACTACCAGTACAGATACATGGATGGAATAGAGGTCTGTCTGCCTGACCTTCCGATCGACATACTCTGCATATGTCGCTGTTATTACTAAGTTCCGAGTCCATTTTTGTCCTTAAAGATCACAAAATGTTTTAACCTAATTTGACCTTTAACAGATTAATGTACAAAAAAACTGAATTGTATGTACATTGAAAACAATTTACATAACACGAAACAACGACATGACTTTTACAAGCAATGTTAAAACCAACCTGTTTGCCCTATAAAACACGCTAGAAATTTACAAAAATCAGCACCATAGTTGAAATTAATAAAATATTGAAATCAATAGAATAACACTGCTTAATTGGTTTCTTCGATATTCGATATCGCTGTCTTTTGTAAAAAAAAATCTTAAAAATCTTTGACAACTTTCTTGTTTTGACGTTTCTAGATTTTCTGGTGCCTAAAAATGAAAGTTCCTAGATGTGTCTAACATGACTTACCAAGTCTTTATAAAAACCGTTTTACTTTACCAATACCAAATGCAAATAAATTTATAATTATTACTGCTGCAAAATGATAATATTTTTTTTTAAATTGCTTTATGAACGAATAATTTAATAAACAGACGTTTGTTACCTTAGACACCAGAACATAACCTTCAAATGACAGAAACAAATTTTTGGCGCGCAGCTTGTTTGTTGTGGAATTTTATTTATACAATAATTATTCGTGATATTCAATATTTTGTGATGACAAATCACATTTTTATTATGTTTTAAATAATTCGTTTTATAACATGAAAGATTTGACCCATTATTTTGTGAGTCCAACTGGAAAAAATAAAAAAACGAGTTTAAATAATGAAGAAGAGGAAAATGCAATAATTAAGGAAGATGTGGTGTTGGTGGATACGGCAGAGGACAAAACGGATAAAAGAAATAGCGGCAGTAGCAAAGAAAATACAGACATAAACATTGAAGATGAAAAAAGTGGATTAAATGTTAACATGGAGCCTGTGAAAACATATAAAGGCAAAAAACGTGGTAGAAAGAAGAAAGTTGGTAGAAAACACTCGGATCCAGCTGTAAAAAATATTACCGAACTACTATCCAATAGTTTAAACCTTATTTCCCCCAACGGCAGCTTCAGTGAAAATGTTACTGAAATAGCAGAAAAAATTAAGGAAGCTACAAGTGTAATTGAAGAAAACCCTGTAATTATAGAAGATCAGGAAGAATTATCACCAAAAAAGAATGCTTTTCAATTTATAATGGAGTCAAGGAAACTAAGTATTGGGATGAACTCTTCTGGTAAAGAAAAGGAAGAATTGTCACCAAGTACAGAATGTAAGGAAAAATTGAAAGCTAGAAAGAGCCTTTTAGAATCATGGGCAGAAATAAAAGGCGCCTCAAAGAGGAAACGGCAAGAAGAAGAGAAGGAAATTTTTATAGACCACCAAATGCAAAAAAGGGCCAAAAGGCTGAAGAATTTGCTGCAGTTGGATGAAAGTGAAGAGACACCAGCAAATAAAAGAAAAAGAAACACCAGGAGAATATCTGAATCGGATGATTCAGAAGGTATTGAAGAAAGTAGCAAAAGTTCTGGAAACTTGCTCAGTTTCTTAGGTACCATTAAAAAAACTGAAAAAGAAATAGAAGTTGTTGAGGAAACGCCAAATGAAATATTCAAAGTTAAAATGTTTACACCAAAAAAATCCAAAAAAACTAAAAAATCAAGACTTAACAAAAAATCACCCAAAAAGAAAAAGGAAGACCCCCTTCTGGCACCAGAAAATCCTGCTGAAGAAACAAATGTTTTATGTGAAGATACTGCTTCAAATGATTCAGTAAAACCTAAAAGAGGTAGAAAAAAGAAGATTCTTGAAAATTCCAAACCAATTATAGTTGATGAAGAAAGTTGTGATTCTGTAAAGCCTAAAAGAGGAAGAAAGAAGAAAGTAGCAATAATTGATGATTCCAGTCAAGATACTCAACTTTCTTTGACACCAAAATCAGCAAAACAGGGGAAAATAAACATGAAAAATAAGGTAAGGTATATTATTTTAACCAATGTTATTTTAAAAGTATTTTTGTTCAGGATTTGCTCAATTCACAAAGTGAAGAAATTGATAAAGATAAAAGAGTATTAAGAGTGAGAAAACAGAAAATTGTGGAGTCTGATGAAGACTGGGAAGAGGAGAGAAAAACAACAACTAAAAAACCCTCAAAAATCGCCCCTGTTTTCTTGAAAGCAGCCCCGAAACCAAAAATAGACCCTGAAATTGCCGAAGCAAGAAGACAATTTTTAATGAGTGGTATACCGGATTCTTTAAAAAAGACCATAGAAAAACAGCAAAGGTATGTACTTACATATTATGATATTTTTTTGGATTTTTCATGCATATCAAATATTGATTTTTTTACCATGTATGTGTCATTTTGACATTGTTTTCAGGGTGATGTATATTTTACTTTGTATTTTTTTATTAATATTACAGCATAGAGGAAAAGGATTTTGATGTTTTTCCTAGCATTCAGCATGTCCAACAAAAATGTGGTTCAGAATATTGGAACCTCCCAAAACCAAATTTAAAATTAATTAAAGATGTACAATTTATTGCATGTAAAAATAATATTTTCAAAGGTTTTATGGAAAAACAAAAAACACCTGATCATGTAAAAATCCCAAAAAGGGATAAAATAGCAAATTTTAAAAACCTTATTGAAGATATTAAAGTTGAAAACCCCGACTATCCTGTATATAAATCATTTAGACAAATTTATGAAAAAAGTGGATATCAAAATGAAAAATGTAAAACCAAAAAAAGGCGGTCCAAAAAAGGTAAAAAATCTTTAGATAAAAGTGTGGAAATAGTGGAGGTTACCCCAGAGAAGATTGACCCCACTAAGTATGCCATGTGGACTGACAAATATAAACCAAAGTCGTCTGAGGATATTTTGGGTAACTTTTCCAGCACCAAAGCTTTGAAAAATTTCCTTGAAGCCTGGCTACAGTTCAGCAAAGACATAATAGCAAAAAAGAGGAAAAAACGTGCTGACTCCAGCGAGTCGGAATTTGACGTCACCGACTGTGACAGCAGAGACAGTGCCTACTTCAAATTACCGGGAAACTCTCTAATATTAAACGGTTCGGTGGGATCGGGTAAAAGTGCCGCCGTTTATGCGGTTTGCAACGAATTGGGTCTAAAAGTTTTGGAAATGAACGCTTCGTCCAAAAGAACGGGTAAAAAGTTGCTGCAGGATATGCAGGAAGCCACGCAGTCTCACCAGGTGAAAAATCAGTCGTCTGCAATGCAAACCTTCTTCAAATCCAAAGAAGCACACGTGGAGCAACCCAAAGCCGAGAAAATGTGCGTCATTTTGATAGAGGACGTCGACTTGATATTCGAGCAAGATGAAAGTTTTATAACGGCTCTTTCAACGTTGGTTACGATAACCAAAAGGCCGATTATCATGACCACAACCGATATAGCTTCGCCGTATGCGCAGAAGTTTGCCGCGCAGTACGAAGTAGTTAATTTTGCGCCCTTGCAAACTTCCACTTTGTCCACGTGGTTGAAGATTGTCTGCCTTGTAGAGGGGTTTCTGGTCGATCAGAACTCCTTGGGGATACTTTTGGAGGTAAACAAAGGCGACGCCAGGAAAACCCTGCTGAATTTGCAGTTCTGGCTGCAATCCGGAGGCCAAACATATCAAAATAACGAACCTATGAGTTGTGCTCCACAACAACGCCAAAGCTCCGATTTTAAACCATCAGATGATGTAGCAAATGATTTCCTGGGGGTTGATGAGGACCCCCAGGAAAAACCACTTATGCACTTCTATTTACTCAACAAAACTGATTATATAATCACGCTAGGTAATCTATGGTGGAACACACCCAACCTTCTATCACTGCCCATAGAAAACACTAAGAGACTTAATAAATTCGGTCAAATTAATCTTGATAATACTCCAACAACGAATGAAGAGTGCATGCCAAAAAAGTCGAATGGAGATTTGGATGAACTGAAAAAAATTGGTCAGTTCTTCATGCTCCACGATACGTTAGCTTTAGTCGACGAAATGCAAAACAAAATTCATTTGGATAACACTTGGGAACCCTGTGTGAAAAACAGGAAGTTTCTTGTCAAGGATAGTTTAAATTTGGATGATAAAACGACGGATTACACAGAAAACTATGATTCCATGGACAATTTAACTCATACATTAGTTGATCTGAATGTTGGGATGATCAGTGATAACTTTTCCTGCAACATGGTGCTTCCAGACCAAGCAGAAAAGAGGTAAATATTTTTTTTTCAAAGAATTTGTCTACATCTTCAATTTTAGATGGAGGGCCAAAAACCACATATGTGAAGATATACTAAAAGAAGCAACGCCTTTAAGCACCAGTAAGGGTCCCTTAAGTTTGGATTATATGCCTTACTTGAGGGATATGTCTCGCTCAGAACACCACAGATCTTTAAATAATACCAAGAGAAGCAAACGTTTTTACCATTATTTAAAAACTGTGGGGGTTGATTTTAACGATGCCGCCTCCAAATTGGCGTGTAACGTACTTTATTAGTTGTATAAATTTTATTTAGCGAACGTTATTTATTTTTAAATAAACATTTAAGTAAATAAAAGTCGTTTCAACAATACTTTAACCTTTATTCATAGACAAAATTTGTGGTAAAAATGATTTATAAAAACGTTAAAATGCAGGTAATAAATAACGAACTATCCAATCACATGTATATACAATTAATTTATATTATAAGGTGATAATAAACAACAAAAAAACGTTAGTGTAGCTTGACAGATACTTGTTGAATGAGCTCATCCAATCTATCGCTGGTTCCTTTGAAACTTCTGGGGTCAGGACCGATCATTTGGATTAATTGCGGGACCTCCTGGCCCGATATTTGCGTGAATTTAACCAAAGCCTTCATGCACCTGTAAAGTTGCTCTTCTGAAGGCTTTGAGTTGAAATATTGGAGCAGAGCCATTGTCAGCTCAACAGCCACATCATCAAACACCTGCAATAATTCTTTAATAGTGTTTTTTTATTTGTATTAGTTTGAGGGCGATTTCGTAAGCTAGTTTGGTTCTTAGTAATGTTAAAAGCTGAAATACAAATATATGGGTATTAATGGAGTTAAAATCATGATTGATGAGACTAAATTTCGATTTTGACATCAAGCTACCTTGGATAGGCTGCCTTTGGGTAAACGCTGGCGGATTCGAAAATTTTTGAACATTTTCTGAAAACAACCTTAAAACAGTACCTGAACATTTTTATGCGCATAAAAATGTAGTCAATAATTTTGTCTGCAATATTTTACCCACAGGCAATTACGTAATCAACACCTTAAAGTTAAAGATAGAACATCGAAAATCATTGATACAGACCACGGTTTTTACCTCCTTGCAGGCCAAGTTGTGGATGATGGCAGCACCTCTGTCCTGTAGTACTGGAACATCTGACAGTAGACAGTGCACTGCCACTTTGGTGGTAACCCTGATGTTGCTGGTTTGCTGACCATTAAAAGTCCACTCTGATATGTACATGAGCCACTCGGAAGAGCTCAAGTTTTCGAACATGTTCGCAATCTGCAATGATAAATTGCTAACTCAAAAATGACCCCATACAAAACCTGTTGGACTTACGAATAACGCGACTGCTTCTTGTTCAGGTTGCGTATGGCGGTCAAGTTCAAAGGCATAATTCATGATAACATGGTCTTTTCTGTCGCCGTGTAGTACCAAGATAATGTCGTCTTTCAAAGCTGCCGCTGCCAAAATGTTGAGAATTTTTATCCTCACATCGACTGGGAGTTCCTTATCGTTCAACAACCGATCTACAAGTATGATTGAATGAAACTCAAAGTTTAAATTTTTATTTTAACAAGTTTTCAACGCACTTAGATAGTCCAAAAATCCGTCGCTCAGAGCCCAACTCCCCTCCCCGCCAATCATGTACTGCTGCAGTTCTTCGGTTGATCTCTGCTCGTCCGGCGATAATTTACCGTCGATCAACCCAACCAAAGCGTCAAATTCCGCCTTGACGTCTATTAAGTCCTTGAAAACAATCGGGGGTTCCCTGGATTTTTTTTTCTCCTCGTCCTCCTTCCTTTCCTCCTCTTCCATGGCCAAAACTTGGTCAGAAGGCAGACTTTCGGCGCCATTGACTGCTTCAGTGTCGGTCATCGTGTTTTCCTTGACAAAAATAGTTTGCCAATCAATCTACTTTATTGTGTTAAAATTTCAACGAAATAAAGTAAAAATTGATCATATACGCTAAAGAAGTATCGCTCGTAGCGCCACCAGTCGGCTGTTAACATCGTAACAAAAGTATAACTTTTAATAATCAGCTGTCAAACGCTTATGATACAAACGAGTGTTTTTGAGAATAAAGCCGGAAAATGTTAAAAAATATCGAAAAAAACCGTGTATTTCGAGAGGAAATCCTGGGTTGAGTTTTTACCGGTTTTCCAATAAACAGTGTTAATCTGAATGAAGAAATAAATTGCATACAGTCTCTGTAAATATAAATTGTAACTATTAGATACAATAAATACACATTTTAGTAGTGATTAACGTAAAAAGTGTAAACATTTCAATTAAGTAAAAATCGTTAAACAAATAAGTCGTCTAAATTTAAACAGCATTTAACATTTTTAAAAGCGTTGATTAAGAAAGTCTCCACTCAACGGTAAAATACCATTATATTATGTATTATATATAATATTATGTTGCCATGAATTCGTAGGTATATTTTGTTGTTTAAAATGCAATTGTCGGCGTTTTTTAAAGAACTCAAATATAAAAATGGTCGATTTTAAGGTTATGTTTGTGCAAAAATTATTTTTTACTAATTTCTTCAAAATGTCCAAACTTAAATATAAATTTTATTAGGTAAAGTTATTGTTAGTTAATTCTGCACCAACAAATGTAGTTACCGAATTGGATCCTTTGGCAAAACATGAAAATGCAACGATTTAGTTCTTGAATTTTATTTACAATTAAAAACACAATAATTCACCATGATCCCTTTAATAAAATACACACACTAACGTAACTATATAAGCATTTAAGCGTTGAGTTTCTTAATCAATGATATAAGGAATAATCAATCGAAATCGAGTACTAAAAGTTATTTAATTTTTTCCTTGCGTAACGTAAAACACAAATAACGTGGGCGATTTAGCTGTGCAATTAAACAAAATTTGTCGAGTAAGACTTCTGCCTTCCTCTCTTTTGTAAAAAAACTACCTATTTATTTAAAAATGATGTATAATCTGTGCTTTAAATGTATTGTTGACAATTCTTAAATTCACGCAAGTCCACCAGATGGCGCGCACGTTGGGAAAACCCTATACTTCTTTAGCGTATTTTTAATATTTTTTTAACATTTACGTTTATTTAGTTTGCACCTACTTCTTGCAGATCTGACGGTACTGTTCCCCCTTCCTTAAGGATTTTCTTCCTTTTCTTCTCCCTTTTGCGCTCCTTTTTCGCTAATTTTTCTTTGATTGTTTTGCGTCTTTCTTCCAGTAGAAAGGAGTTATATCTGAAATGTAATTGTATGAAAATAGAAATAGAAAATGTAGAAAAAACAATAAAATACTTACTATTAACTCCCAAAACTATGTGGATAGCATACTAAGGTTAAAAAAGCTTGAAATGCAATAAGTACTATACAATCCGGTATGCTGGTTAAGAAACGTATACTCGTCGACTCCGCGCATGTGACGTCACGTGAGAACCAGATTCACACGTTACAAACAGTTTTGCATAGGCATGCGCTATGCACGGGTGTTTTACTACGATTTCTTTTGAGTTTTTTTCCGAATTTTTAAAATGGAATTAAAAAACGGTCAGTAAAGACAACTTTTAGTATACCCAATTTTCTTATAGTAACTTTTTACCCTAACCAAAGATTAAATATACTAGTATACTAGTGTCACAAGTAAAAAAAGCAGTTATGAGATTTTTTTTTACTTTTGACACTTTGAAGCGGCTTACGTTATTATTACCTGTATAAATGCATTTTTATAATTTTGTTACCTTTCACATTAAAAAATGTAAAGTTCGGTCTAGCGTACGTTAAGTTAATTCAACTAAATTAAAAATATTTTGCAAAATAATAATAGGAAGGTAGGAAATTAATTGTTGCTTAAAATATGTTGCATTAGTATTAAAATATATAACGTGAATTTGAAGAGCAAATAACATGACGTCACACGGTGCGAGAGAGATAGCTATAGTAAATTTAAAAGGAAACTACGTACACGTCATCAATCAGCTAATCGGGCACGGTTGTTAATGTGATGCTAAAATCATTGCATCAAGTGAAAGTGGTAGTGCAACTACAGGGCGATAGATGGCGTTTACATGAATAATACCATAGGGTCCCTAGATTTGGGACCTTAGAATAACAAAATGTGAAAAGTCAGAGTATTATAACCTATGTATATGATGCACCGCCAAAAGTATGTTTTTAGCCATTTTTAAAGACATTTTCAGCTATAAAACCCAGAAATTTTGCCATGTTAAGTCAGTCTCTGGTGTGTATATTATTATTTTATGTATCCAACATATATTTTGTTAAATATTCTAATATATAATTAATAATAATCCTATTTACCTCTCCAACAGCTGTAAAAGGTAACAACAAAGGTATTATCCCGTTCTGCTCAAAATAGCGTATTAAGGATGATACCAACTCTTGACGCCGACTATTTAAATGATTCGGCATTTTAAATATAGCAAAAACAAAAAAACGATATATAACAAACACAAAAACGGCAATGAAAACTTAAACGCTTAAAATAACACAAACAACAAACAAAATAAACGAAATTATACACGAATTAAACGAAATATTCAAAAACACAACTGACAGCTTTAAAATTCTAAAACGTCAATTTCTTTTTCTGTGCGTCATTTTATTAGGCAAAATTTTAATTTAAACATGACAACATTGCAATTGCTGCCAACTAAAGTTGTTTAAAATGCATTAAAATATTCAATTAGACTTCGTTTTACACATTTAGTGTTGGTACCAGTGCGCAAAATTATGACGTGTACGTCGTTTCCTTTTAAATTTACTATATCAGCATACCGGTTTTTTTGTAATACCTACCATACGTTAATTTTGACAGCCAATTTTCTCAATAAATAAGAACGACAATTTTAGAATCTCACATTTTATTATTTTTGGCTACTACAAGTTAACAATCTACACGAAAATTTTGTCGAATATGAATCAATTTATTGTTTACAATTATTCTTTAATGATAGAAATTAAAAACACCCACACATCAAGCATTATTATGATGGCTGCAAAAGTTAATAAAACATAAAATAAATAATCGAGTTATTTACAAATAAAAAGTACTTATTACAGTAATCTTTAAGCTGTAGGAATATGAATTCAAAAGCACAAAAAACCCGTCATTCTTTTATATCTGACCTTGCTTCTTCAATCTGCGAGTTCAACTGTTCAAAGTCTTCGTCTCTTGGGACAGATCTCTGCTCTTCCGCTATCGGACGCGCGCTTTTTTCCAATTGTGCTATCAGAGGTGACAACGTCGCACCCAGGCTACTTTGTAAAACCTCGTTCGGTAAATCCAAAATATACTTTGGTATGCTTGTTCCGCAAAGAAATTGAGCTATTTCTTCAGTGAAATTGTTGCAATTGTGTTTAAAGAGATCATAGGATGAGCTTCTGCAATTCAAAAATCGTTGCTATTAATGATAATAGTCCAGTTTTGAGTTATTAAGTGTTTAAACAACTTGGCAACACTGCCTCATAAGCTGATAAAAGTAGGACAGCAGAAAAGGGGTGGATAGAGGATTTGATGTTAGGAATCTGTTTTACCGTTTTTCAAAATGTCACATTTATCAGTTGGTATTATTATTTATTAATAATTTTGTTTTTTTGAATTGAGATAAATTATCAAAGTTATTATTCTCTATTTAAGTTACTTGACAGTTGTCAAATGTCATACAATCGTCAAAATAAAGTGCGCTTCTTTTGAAATAATTGTATTATCTCAGATATTCGAGAATACAACTGTCAACTAACTTCAACCTGTGACTAAAACAATGTTGCTAACTATAACCTGTGACTAAAATGACATAAAGTGACATTGTGTATTTAAAAAAACATGAAAAAATGTACAATAATGATCATTTTAAAGGTGAGAGTAAAAAAAAATTAAACTACAAAAAAAATAATTTAATTTTATAAATAAACCTGAAATAATATTTGAACAATCTAAAAATAGTTTTGTTAATATTTAAATAAGAAATCTTGTGTTAAATCCTTAATTTTTATAAATAAAGAAATTGCTTAAACTTACATGTAAGAAGTTGTAGAAAGACCGTTTAAATATTCATAAAATACACCATATGGTACATGGGTTTCACCCAATTTTTGCACTTCTAACGGTGTGCCCAACAAGGTAGTGCCCTAAAAAATAGTTTTTAACCATATTATACTTAATTACAAACAATTAACTTTCTAGATGTTATTTTTGTTATTATATTTATGCTGCCAATTTAGAATCTTGATCACTATTGAAAGAAGTAACAGTAGGCAATAGAAAGATAGAAATTTCTACGTTTATTAATAGAACGATTCCAAATTTAGAATTTTAAGTTTAAACACATAGAAATGTGTGATAGGCTGCCATCTAACTGAAGTAACCCAATCTACGCACAAAATCTATAAATATAACGCGATTTTTTCAATTTAAAAATAATTGTTGTGGTTTGATCATCAATTAGGTACATAGTGTTTTAAAATATAACTTACAGGATTGCAGCTTTCTACACCTCCGGACCCGAAGAAGTATTCCCTATCGAAAACGACTATCGATGTGTGCCAAATACCATCTATTTGTTTGCCTATTATAATAAATAAGTAATTTTTTGTAATTTTACATAACCTCAAATATTAATTTTATCAACTCACCGATTAACATTTGGGATATAGTTCTTGCCATTCCTTGAGAAATGTCGTAAATGTACAATTCCACCGTTTGGGACATTTTTTTTAATATTCTCGCAATTCTTGCGATTTCTCAGAATCACAACACTGCTCTGTCAAATCTCCCACTTGTCAAAAAAATTCAATACTTGAATTATGTGAAAACGAAGGTGTATTATGATAAAGCGAAGGTGTTTCTAGAGAATTCTGGAAGAAAATGCAGTTGGATATTCGCCACATTTATTTGAAATTGACTTTGCGCTTAGAATGTTTTTTTCGAAATTAATAAGCCTTTTTGTTACGTGGAGAAGTTATTTTTGTGCATCACGTCCTAAACGAATTTACCTGGTGCTCAATGCACGAACTGCTTGTGTACTTTATTAATAGAAATGTATTAATTTGTTTCCTTATGTATTTGCCAATTATTCGCGTCTTATAAAAAGTCCGTTAAAATTATTTATGCTAAATAATATTTTTTAGGTGAGATCGAAAATTTCCGAAGCAAAGTGCATGAGATCGAATTTTGTGAGGCAACGCCTTCTTCTATGGTCTTATAGGTTTATAATAATTATTATTATAATAATTATTATAATTATTATTATAACAATTATTGTACTACTTTGAATTTCAACCTTCTAGGTTTAATACAAGAAGACTTATTATTTTTAGTCTTACAGTTTGTCTCACAGATTATAAAGGTTTGTATAGACCTATAAATAGACATATATGTCTATGTCTATGGATTTAATAAAAATTAAAGAACACTTTTATCTTTGATAAAAATGCTCCGATATATTTATTATACGATTTCGTGGCTATGTCTAGGTCATTTGAACTACTCGATTCTGTTTACAGAATGTATGAATGTACATTCAGCCACAAAATCCCACATTTCTAAAAAAAATGTGTTTTATAGAAAATATATCAAATGTTAATAATTAAAATCTATCTAAAAATATTAATGAACTTTTGACATTTTTAATAACTTGTTTTGCCCGTTTTAAAGCAAAAGGGTAATTCAGCATGTGGAATTTTTCTTTTAAATATTTGGCCAGAACACAGAATTGGATCAGTGTTGCCAACTGAAGAATAATTATCCGATTTTCAGATATATTTGAGCTGCGGATATTTTAATGATTTTTACTGTATTTCTGTATGTATTTTCTTGTAGTTTAAACTTGCTTTCACAAAAAAATAATTTCAATTGACTGGGTGATAATTTTAATATTTGACGTTGGCAACCAGAGACAAGGTCTCTGTTGGCAACATTGACTGTATGTTTTTCATGGATGCCTGGTCTAGGCATGGATGTTTATCAGAGATATCTCTGATGTTTATAAACAAACTTTGTGTTTTTATGTTTTGGATGTTTGAAATGTGCAATTGTTTAAGTGTATATAAGAAACTTAATTAAATATAAATGGTAAGCTGTATTTTGTAACTTGTATTATTATTAAATGCGCTGTACCTACGTAAATTTTAAGGTTAGCAAATTATATTGTTTGGTACTATTTTTGTGGAATTATTATATTTGTTAACATGTCGACTGTTAACTTACCTATAGAAATAAAATACAAATAGCAATTATTTGTATGGATATCTTTTTATTTGAAAAGCTAAAAGGTCAGTTAAATTATAGAAAAGTTGCGTGATTCTATTAAAATGGTTTTTTAAAATTGTACAAAATAATTGAAGCGTGGTAATTCAAAAGCGTCTTCAATTATAATTTAAAAAAAAACTAAAAATCTGTCAAAACCTTAAAGCCTGATTTATAGATTGCCCACAATCCACACATTGTGAGATTGCCTTCTTAAGAAGGCCTTCCTCACGTAAAAGATGAACAATACAAGAACCGTTGTGCTGTTTATAGATTTCCGTACTGGAATTTATAAATGGCACTACGATTTTCGTATTGTTCATCTTTTACGGGAGGAAGGAAGGAAGGAAGGCAATCTATAAATCAGGCTTAAGTGGTGCACCCCGTATTGTTATAATAGCACATTATGTTATGTTATGTGCAATTTTTAATGAATTTTGTTACAGTAAATAATATAATGGATGAGGAAGAGGTACATTTATTTGATGACTTTGTCACTGAAGACAGTATTTACCTCATAAACTCTAAGGGGGTAGTAAAGGAAAACCTATCAATTTTAGACACCTTGAAAAAACTTAAAAACGATTGTCGGGTTGAGTAAGTATTTTAAATTTAATTTATTACAAAATATTTATGAAAAGGTATGGGTTTAAAACAATAAAATGGTAAAACATTTTTTTATTAAAAACCCTATAACGCGAACAACCATTTTCAGGGCACCCTAAAACATTATTTTTATAACTTTAAATTTTAATAAATTACGAAATTGTTTTCAGTTGATTTACAACCAACTTCACTTATTTTTAAGATATTTTTATGGTTTTTTAAATAACGTATATGTAAGTCAACGAAAGCTATGAACATAAAATAATATTGCCAACATTATTTTTATGGTCAGGAAGCAGCCTTCTAGCGGTTTATTTATTAATTATTATTTTATTTCAAAAATATATTTAGCTCTATTGTATACAATAGAGCTTCACCTAATTTAGGTTATAAGCCAAATTTTATCATTGATTTTCTGTGGGTAATTTAGGAGTCCCTGATATTTCGGTAAAATTAATTACTACGCCTGCGCAACCACCTTACAATTCTGCAAAACGTTATTTAAACACTCTGTATATTATCAGAAAATTATACATTCTTAAATGTCTTTTTTATTTTAGATTTATCTACGAAAATGATGAATCTTTATCATCGTCATCCAGCTCTGATTCTGACGATGAAAATAATTCGTCGATCAGAGATGAAAACAAGAGGAAAGCTGTGCAACAAAGTTGCGAAGCTACGGAAACCGCATTGCCAGAAAACAACATTTGTAGCCTAAAAGGAAAAAAAAAGTTAGTCAAAAATATTTTATTAAACATTGTATACAATATATATAATATATTATGCTTATCAATTATTTCTGATACTGAAGAATACCCTTGGAAAACATTTATTTGGGTTTATTTGTGGTTGAAGCCCTATTTGTAATCTTCCTTAATTTTAAAAGGAATCGTATACATTTATTTTTGTTATTAACGATTTTTCACAACTGTGGTGTTTAATTGATGTAATAGTAGGTATTTGGCTTCTCTGATAACAAAAATTTCACCTGTTACCGCACTTATTCAACCATCCCCCTGTACAAACTCAATTTTAGCACTGCAGTTGAAGAAAGTTATAAAGAAAATGAAGCAACTGATACAGATTTCGACGAGGATTCATCCACCTCTAAAAATGAGGAAAAAAACAAAGAAAATTTAAAAAGTAAAGTAAATAATTGTGAAGTTAAAAGATCCGCAAGGAATAGAAAAAAAATTGCCCCAATGTAAGTAATTTTTATTAATGTGTTTAAAAACAGTCATCATTTTTTTTATATTGGTAAATTTATTGTTTAACTTGCCCCAAAATGTTTTATTATAAATAAAAACGTCATTAAAACTTGATCGTTTTCTACATTTTTAAGCACTGTATTTTTAAACAACCTATATCACTAAAACATAAGCTAGATATTAAATTTTACCCACTAATAATTTTAGAGTTGATGATAGTAGCGATGAAGAACGGGACTTTTCTGCCGATGAAGATTCATCATACACTCCTGAAGATGAAGAAGTTGAAGGAAACAAATATAATCGGCGAAATAATCTGGGGTAAGAAAGATTTTATGTTTTATTTAATTGCATTTTGACGTCCCTATTCTTGTAACTGCAGTTAAGTTTTAGTTAAAATTTAAGTCCCATAATTTATAAGGATAAGATGCGCAAACAATGTTGCCTTATAAGAAAAGCGCAAAAATATTATTTTAAATCAAATTTTCCCAAAAAGGCTTAAAGTGGCATGTCCCCAATACGTTTATAAACTAAATAGATAAAACATGTTTTCTCATAATTCCTCTGGTGACAAATAAGTGGAAAACAGACATATTTTTAATTTGCAATTTTATAGTAAGTTTTCTCTGGCAACAAAATTCGAGGTCATAAAATTTAAATATTTGAGCTTAGAACCTATAATATTTTGTAGAATATCATTTCTCTGGTATTGACATATATATGTATATTTTTATCAGATAACACCTAACTTTGCCACAAATACGTTTAAAAATAATTTTAGATCCAAAATTAATGATATTGATAAAGAAAGTGACGATTATGATCCTGGAGGTGGAAGGGAAAAAACCTCATGCGAAATTAAGGAAGAAGAAAGGTATAGTGACTATTCTGAAGAAGATACAAATTCCCTACATAATGAAGATGCGGAAAAAGATGAGTATGAAGCCATGTTTGAGACGAAAATTGAAGTGGAATATCATGGGGTTAAGTATGAAGATGAAGGTGAATCAGGGTGAGTTATTTAGAAAAAAACGGCTCTTTTACTTCTGGCATTTTATGTAGCTTTAATAAGCTTCCAGTGAATAAACAATTAACAACATTTTTTGATCTTTTGAGCTTATTTTTTGTTTTAGGGAAACATTAGAAGGCGGCATATCGGATGAGCACAGATGTACAAAATGTTACAATAAATTCACAGACAAAGACTCTTTAACCCAACACATTAAATATATTCACGAAGATTTTAAACACAAGTGTCCACATTGCCAGAAGGTGTACAGTAAAATAGTTTATTTAAAACACCACGTTGAAAGCCAACATGGCGATCCCTTACAAAGAAAAAAATATTACTGTTCACAATGCAACAAAACATCTTCAACCATTCACAATCTAAAGGTCCACATTAAATCCGTACATGAAGGATTCAAATTCTCTTGCCCACATTGCTCAAAAATGTACACTGAAAAGAGATACTTGGATCGTCATCTTAATATTATACATGACGTAAAACAGGAACACAAATGTCCACATTGTGACGAAAACTTCTTAAAAAAAAGCGATTTATATTCGCATATTAAAATAAAACACAGAGGTTCTAAATTCAGTTGTATTCATTGCAAAAAAGAATTCACAAGAAGATATTATTTA